CTATCCTTTGTGGCCAGTGACCTCTGGGACATGTCTTCTCAGCCCCTTTGTGACCCTGTCAGATGCAAACGGTGTGAAGCCAAGCTTTTGCTCCCACACCCAGCTGGCCCAGTGTCCCTGCTTCAGTCACTGTCCCACTCTGACCCATTACACCCACTCAACGTCCCCTGCCCTTAACGCACCCGCCTCCTGCATCCCATGATTCCTCCCACTCCTGCTGTCATCACAGAAGGGGCCACCTTTTCTCCCTTGCTAGCCCACCCCTCACTCACTGCCAGGTTAGTCTTCTAGAGACACCGTCTTCCCCAGATCAGAAACCACCAAGGGCCGCTTCTGCCCTCAGTCCTGGAATTAGTGGGTCTCTCCTGCCCTGCATGTTGTTCCGCCTCAACCTCCACAAATTCTCCTCTCGGGGCAAACTATGTAGCCTCTCCATCTGTCTATGCCCCCTGCCTGCCTGGAGCACCACCCCTCCCCTCTGTCTGCCCAAGCCTCAGAGTGCAGCACTCAGAAGCATAGGCTTTGAATCTGTCTCCACCACCCACTAGGTCTGTCACTCCAGGCAATTGACTAACCTCTTTGCCCCCTCAATTTCTCTGTCTATAAAATGGGGCTGCACTACCTCTCAAGGTAGCTGTGGTGTTTAGGCGAGATGGTGGTTATAAAAGAGAGTCTTCATGCAAAGCCTGGCCATGCTAAGTGCTCTATAAACAGGAGTCATTGTTGTTACTCTGACCCTTCAAGTTCAGGTTCAGGTGCCTCCTCCATCATGAAGCCCTCCCTCATCACTGTCGCCTCTTCCATCCTGACTTCTTGACATCTACAGGACGTATCATCCTGTCCTGCCCCTCAGAGCTCTGTTAGCTGTGAGGTCTTAGGCAGGTCCCTTGTCTCTTGTTCTTCGGGTCCTTCATCTGTAAGTTGAGCAGGCATATAGTCCCCAGGTCAGGGGTTGCGGTGAGGGTTAATGAATGAATGTGTGTGAAATGCCTGGCACATGAATGAATATATGCGAAGTGCTGCAGAAATGTTAAGTAGTATGAGTTTCAGAGTGGTCCCACGGCATCTCCTCTACCTGTCCCTCTCATTGGATGGACCTTAAGTGCCCTGAATCAGAGACCCAGATTCCTTCCCGGTGTGCTCCTACTGTATCTGGTACCCGTAGGGCATGGCGGGCACATGAGCCTCACCTACTGGGCCTTCCCACCTGGCTGCCTGGCAGCAACTGGCAGTTCTACTGGCCTCTGAGGCCTTCAAGTGTCCTTTAAGGCCAAGATGTCAAAGTCAGGATGGAAATGGGAGTCCCGAGACACACCTCTCATAGGGGCCGTGGCCCCTAGAGCCCCCTGCCCCTGCCCATGAGCCCCCTTCTGTTTCTCCTGGGCCTCTGCCCTCTCAGAATCTGCCCCGGGGGGCTTAGCAGAGCCCCTCTCTCCTGCAACTAACAGCCTCTCTTCTTCCTGGGCAGCTGCCCCCCAACTTGGTGTGGGACCCCAGGGCAGAGTGCAGCTACAAGGAGCCAGAAGGTGGGATTACACGCTGACACGGGCCGGGGGCCAATGCTGGGTGGTTACCACTGGTGCCATCGACCCACACAGGCCGCTGTTTATCTGTCTTCCTGACACACCTAATTACCCAGGTTGCAGCTGCCAGAGCGTTTGCTCTTCCTAAATCACGGGTTCCCGTCTCTCCTCGCCCAGGCCTCCGGGCCTCTGCCTACAGAGGGGCTGCCATTGATTTTGCTGTTCCCATTTATGATCTACAAGGCTCTGCATCACTGTTGCACATTTTACCTTAATTAGTTTATTCTTCTGGGCGTCCCTGGGCAGCTCAGAAGCCAGGAGGTAGAAGAGGGGAAGAGGCTAACAGCACATGGCACCCCGACCCGTCTGGCCACAAAGCCCGGGGCCTGGCCCAACAGCAGCACCCTAAGACAGCAACTGGCTAAGAATGGTGCTCGTTCCGCAGGGTGCTAGTAGGTGAGCTGCGAAAAGGGCTTCCGTGGCCAGCTGGATTAAAGAAGATTAAGCAGGTAATTTATTGCAGGACTTGTCTAAGTTTTAATAGACTGATGCCCACTGAGAATCTTCCCCGGGGGTGGGGGGGTGGAAGGTGTGGTCTTCCCCAAACTCAGATGATCACAAAATCTTTCCTCCAGGCAGCTCACAGAGACCAGGGTTCCATAAAGCACACTCCGGGAAATGTGTATCTTGGATGAGCAGAAGGAGTTGGAGGTGATGTGGCAAACAGAGGGGGACAGAGTCCCCCTGGGCCCATGGGCTCCTCTTGTCTCGCTGAGGGGCAGGAACTCCCCCATGAGAAATTTCTCCCACCGAACGCGGAGGGGCCCATCGAGGGCTGCAGAGCCCCAGCTGCTGGCCACTGCTTTCTCACACTGGCCCACGCGGTGCTGGAAGTTAACCTCCATGTTTCGGCAGGGCTAGACTAGCCGGAGGTCCCATCTAAAGGGGCTCTGGTCAGACAGAGGAGGGCAAGGCTTGCTTGCTGTTGGTGGAGGCTGGAGACCCAGAAGCCTGCGGGGCCATCTTCAGAGGTCCCCCAAGCATCAGGAAGTGATGACAAGGCTGCCATTGCCTCGGGAATAGCCACGAGCATGGCAGTCCAGGCCCACAGTCCCTTCTCCGCAGTCCTCAAATCCAAAGCACTCTGAAAGCCTCAGATGCTTTTTTTTTTCTTAAGTTTGTGGGAAAATGAATTGATAGCAAAACCTGTCCTGAGCTGCCGCGAGCTATTTATAGGCTTTATTTATCCCACTTAGTGTGAATATTCATATATTTTACTGCAGAAATATTAATGTGTTTAATTACAGGGTGCTGCCCCATCCCTCCTGGGGGTGTTAGGTAATAAACGGTGTGTGCACTGTGTTACCTTTCTAAAATGTGAAAGAACAAAATCTAAATTTCTAAATATGTCTGGCCCCCAGGGATTGTGCTGCGGTCTGCGGACTGGGGTGGTGCGGGGCCTCCATGGGCAATTCTGACCCTGCGCCGGGGCTTCAGTGCATCTTATCCTGTAATTCCCACAGCCACGTGTAAGGGAGGAGGCACGGCTGGTACCCTGATACCCAGATGAGGAAACCGAGGCTGGAGAGGATAAAGAGCCAGCAAGGCCCCGAGCTAATGGAAGTCGGCACCTGTGCTTCCATCCAGCCCAGGCTCCTCGGTTGCCCCAGTGGGCTTCCCTCGCCGGCCACCGCAGCTCTGTGCCCACCCCAGCTGCAGCTCCTCAGCCCAAGCCTCCACGCACAAACACCGGCAGGCCTCCTGCTCTGCTCATGAAGGGCCTTTCCCGCCCCCAGACAGGCCTCTGCACCTCTGGGAGGGTCAGGCCGGGCAGGAGGGCTCTGTTCCGGTGCCAGCTCCCTGGTATCTGGCGAGCATCTCAGAGGCCAACCCCAGACCCCACAGACCACACGGCACTCCCCGTGGGTCCCTGTGGTCTTAGGAGGTTTCCACAGGAGGCCACTGAGAGAGCAAAGCCTTTTGTCCTCTCCTGGGCAGAGCCACCTGAGCGATCCTTTATAACTGCCCTCTCCTAACATGCTCCCACTCCCACAATCCTTCTCAGCCACTCATTTCACACACTGACTCTGCCAGACCCCTGCAGTGCAGAGCTGAGTTCCCTAAAGGACCTACACGAGTGCCCCATCGGTAACACGGGAATGACCACTTCTGTCTACTACCCACCACCTTGAGGGGGCGCTGTGCTACGCTTTTCGTGTACGTCATCTCTTGTATTCCTCGCAGTAAACTGGATGTAGCTATTACTGTCGTCCCATTTGCAAATAGGAAAACTGAAGCTCAGAGATGCTAAGCAACTTGCCCAAAGTCAACAACTAGCCCCTAGAAGTAGAAACTGGGTAGAACAGAGACCAGGACTGCGGCTTGTTTACTCTAAACCCCGAGGTCTTAACCGCTGCCCCATGCTGCTCCCTTCACCCTAAGCGGTGGCCTCTGCCCTGGGCCAGCCAGAGAGTCAAGTGCAGGGGTCTGTCCCCAGGGCCACTCGTCCCCCAGCTCACCTTCCCGACTTCCTACAGCTGCTCCCCTGCTGTCCCCCCTGTGTTTCTGATGCCAACCTTTGAGAGTAGAACATGATCCCTCCTAAAATATGAATGCTCTGGGGCTCACACGAACAAGAAATAAACTAGGGGTGAGTGGAGAGCTCTGCCTAAGTGGCCTTAGAAGGGTTTGAGCCTCCGGCCACCAGAAGTTCTTTGCACTTCCCCCAAAATAAAGCTTAGGCATGAACATGCTCCGGGAGGTCACAGAGCCCCTGCAATTACATGTGGTACATTGCGTGGTGCCCATGTGTGCGACTCCCTGAGCTGGCGGTCCTCAACCTCCATCCAGTTCTGAAAGGGGTAGAGACCCCTGCCCTCGAGGGCCTCCCAGGGCTGCTCACCCCCTTCGCCCCACCTGGATGGCCGACCCTACTGCCATCGGGTTCCCCTGGGGGTGGGCGACAGGTCCATCAGAGCTCCACTTCCAGCCCCTTCCTGGATCTGGACTTAGAGCCCCACCCACCAACCAGGACCATTTCTTCTCAGACCCAAATGAGGCGCTGCGATCCTGCAGAGAATGTAGGAGGCAGGTCCTGGAGAAAGAGACATTCTGGGTTCAGTTTGGGTGCTGAAATATTAGCAATCCCTGATCTCCTGTGTGTTGCAAGAGCATGGTGCAGAATGTGAAATCCAGCTGTTGAGGGTCATCTCAGACACACAGTAGTGGTAACACTTCTTCTGTGGTTCCTGAGGCCTGGGCTGGCCATTTTCATAAGCCAATCTATTCTCTCAACTGAAGATACCTGAGTACTCCCCCCAGACAGAGAGAGCCTCACCTGCTTGAGTGAGTGCTGTGGGGAGCGCTCCCCTTGCCGCAGATGACATCTACCTGTGGCCCCGACCACCTGTGGCAGGTGCCCCAAAACACCTGCACACTGGCCCACCATCCACCAGCCTCCCTTCCTCTTCTCTCCAGGGGTGGCCACGTACACAGACAAGCTGTTCAAGTTCCGCAACAACCGGTGGGAAGACATCCTCAGTGATGAGGTCAACGTGGCCCGCGGTGTGGCCAGCCTCTTTGCCGGGCGCTCTGTGGCCTGTGTGGACAGGACGGTAAGTTCAGGGGTACACGGGGGTTCTGGGGAGAAGAGGGGGGCACACAGCGATGTGAGAGCCCAGAGGGGAGCCAACAGGCAGACGTGCCCTGACAGAGTGGGACTGTCCAGGGCAGAGCCCAAAGATCCTCCATCGCGGCAGCTCCCATAGTGCTTTGCACATGGTAGGTGCTAAATACTAACAAGACTTGCAAGGTGAGTTACAGTCTACTTTCCCATCCTTTCTCCCTTGAGGCTCTCCCAGCAACCAGCAAGGAAACTGTCAGGGGCTGTCATCACCGTGTCCATTGGGGAAGAGGGCACCAAGGCCCAGCTTGGGGCAGTGACTTGCCTGAGGGCCCAAAATAGATTGGCGATGTGACTAGGACATGAATCAGACTCTTCTAGCTCTAAACCTTGTGCTCATTCATTTAGTCAACCAATATTTATTAAGTGCTTACTATGTGCCAGGCATTGAGCCATAGGGCTCTCCCTGAAAATATCTGTGGAGCAATGAAGGAATGACAAAGAGGTTCATGAGTGGGTGAGTGGAGGGTGGCCTGAATGTCCGAGTACTTGGTTAATCAGGAGCTCTGTCACTGCTTCTGTGCCTGCTAGTTCCCCCTACCACACGCACGTGTCAACCCCAGCAGGTAGGGAGGAGAGACCAAGGGAGAGGGGCAGGAGTTGTAGCCACCTGCCCTGTGGGGTGGCCCCAGCCCAGGCTTGCATCCCAGCAGCCCCAGCCGGAGCCAGAGGCTGGCCATGGAGGTGATTTATCCCTGTCACCTGCTCACCTGCTGCCCCCTCCTTGACTTTAGAGACAGTCATCAGTAAATCAGGGACCCAGCTGCCTCCTAGCTTCCATTCCGGGGGCAGGGGCAAGGGGCCCCGGCTCATATCAGGATTGAGATGGCACCGGGGAGGGAGATTGGGGATTCAGCATGAATCTTCACAGCAGGGGCCTCCAGGCCTTGGGAGAAGGCAGGTGCCAGGTATAAATATTTATTTCTTAACAAGCTGGTGCTGGGAAAAGAAGCCAAGCTGGGCTGTGAAGCCACATTTAGCCCTGACCTGAATCTTTGCCACCTGGACTCCTGCCTGGTGGGAGGGAAGGAGGCAGCGGTGGCTCTGTGAGTGGCCCCGAAGAGTGAGAAGGGGCAGGGTGGGGTGGGGGTGGGGGGCAGGCCAGGCCGCTGCTGGCAGCCTCCTGCTTCCTGCCTCGCTCCTGCTGAACCAAGGCTTCCCACACTTGGCCAAGGTGGAAATCATCTCTGAGCTGGTGGCAGGGGCCTGAAGGTTAATCACAAAGAGATGCACTCTTTGTCCTAACAAGGTCACCTGCACGCCCACGCGTTTAGCCACAGGACAAAGGCACCGTGTGAAATGCAAAAAAAAAAAAGCTTTGGCACGCGGCACCATAGGCAGCCATTTAGCAGCTTGCTCAACCCCAGCCTCAGGGAACTAGAAACAACCACCAGGAGAGGTGCTGCTTTCTGTGTCCAGCTGCCACCACCACCACCCCGGCAATCCCTGGGGCCTGAGAACTGTGGAGGGGAGTAGGGCCAGGTCATGGCCACTCTGGAAACTTGGAGATAGGAATGCAACGTAGTGTCGGAAACACAAAAGCAATCTTAACGATAATGACAGCTAACCGTAATGAGCTAGCAACACGCCAAGCCCTGCGCTCAGTGGTTTATACGCATTGTCTTACTGAATCTTCACAGTAGGCTTAGGAGGTACCTGCTGTCATTATCCCCATTTTACAGATATGGAAACTAAGGCTTTCAGCAATTAAGCAACTTGACCTTGGTTACGTAGTTAAATGGCAGGCAAAGCCAGGAATTGAGCCCTGCCTTTCCGAGAACCAATCAGATGCCTTTCTATCCCACGGCTAGCCTGCCCCTGGGTGAAGCGGTATCAGTCACAAATTTCTAACCACAGGTTCTGTTACAGTGTTCACCCTACTCCTTCCTCAGCCCCACGGCTCCCACCTGGCGGCTTTTAGTCGACCTGTTCCCAAAGTGTGGTCTCCAGACCAGCAGCATTGTCGGAAATGCAGATTCTTAGGCCCGACCCCCACTCCACCCTCCAGACCCACTGAGTCTGAACCCATGGGACGGGGGAGGGGGGCAGAAGTCTGGGTTTGAACTCGCCCCGCAGGTGACTCTGGCGCGGGCCGCAGTTGGAGAGCCGTCTGGCAGGTAAAGGTCTCAAACCACCCCCCCCCCCCCGCCCCGCGTTACCTTCCCAGTCCTCTCCCCGGCAGCCCTCATCCCCTCTCGGCCCCAAGCCGGGCGCACTTGCCCGCCCTTTGTCTGCAGCTGCCTCATCACTCACCCGCCTTTCTGGATCCAGCTTAAAGCCGATCTCTTACAAGGAGCGTTCCCTGATCGATAATGATTATGCGTCATGTTTATATAGCATTTTCGTCTTTTGGAGACCTTTCACATGTGTTGTCTCATTTCATCTTCTCAACAACCCTGCCAGGAAGCAGGGGGAATACGACTCTCCTTTAACACATGAGAAGAGGCAGCTGAAGGGGGTGAGGAACCTGCCCAAGGACAAAGCCACGTAGGGGCAGAACCTGTCCTGGGCCCAGGCTAATATCCCTAGACCAGTGGCTCTCCAGGTGTGGCTTCTGGCTCAACAGCATCAGCTTCACCTGGGAACTTGTTCACTCCAGAGCTCCCAAATCAGAAACTCCGGGGTTGAGCCCCAGCATTTACAGTTGAACAGTGCTCCGGGTGTTTCTGATGTAAGCTGAAGGGGGAGCCCACTGCTGCCCTGGGGAGCCTCTCCCCAGGCTCATCTCCACAACCACCTCACCATCCCAGAGTGACTGTAGTCAAGGCCACATGGCGAATTTCCGAGGTCCTCTGCAACGTAAACACATCTCTACTTATCAACTTTTATCATCCCCATACAATGAAGAAGGGAACTAGGTATAATGGAATTTTATGAACACCCTAATTTCCAGCAGAGTGCCTTTCAGTTCATTTGGGCTTAATTGCCCATTTGTTGTGGGGATTGCTAACAGCTGGTAGGGTCAGGCGTGGGCACAGGGATGGTGCACTTTCCCCTTTGGCCCCATTCATTCAGTCTTCATCCGATCATTCCACACACATATGCCGAGCTCCTGCCACGGGCAAGCATTTCTCAGAGTTCTCCGCCAGTCACGACGCCGTGCTGTAAAGCCCTGCATCTCGAAGTTCAGTTTTGCGTGGGGGCCAAGTGGGGGTCTTGTGAAAATGCAGAGTCTGAATCATCAGGTCTGGCGGAGGGGACAGTGTCACTGAGAGTCTATATTTCTAACCTGCTCCCAGATGACGCCAGTGCTGCTGACCGAGTAACAAAGATTCGGAACGCATAGTCTCCCAGGTGGCAGGATGGAGCCTCAGATAACCGAAACAGGGGGCGGGGACATCTTTAGGGAGTATCTTTGCCTCCTTCTCCAGCTCTGACCCCTGACATGCCCTGCCTTGCATTTTCTATTCCTGCAACACTGAACGAACTGCCTGTGGTTTCCCTACATACATCATTCTCTGTATCATCTCTGCCTGGAAGGTTCTTTCCTCTACACTTCACCTGGCCGAGACTCTTCTTAGAAAACCTTTTCTGAACTCCCCCTGGTTCAATGCTCCTTCCTCGGGGAGCCCCTCTTCTGTACAGGAAATGCTGTACATATTCTCTCTTTTAAAAAATGTTCATTCTAGTAGAGTTCACTTTTTTTTTTAATTTTATTTCCAGGATCATTAACTTGCATATTCTCTTAATCATATATATATAATTGTATTATTGTTGTCATGTCTGCATCCCCTCCGGAGACCGTAAGCTCCTTCATTGGCCTCACCCACCAGTCAGACCCAAGTAGCTCTTCGTCAGCTCCCCCAAAGAAAACGTTCCCACGGAAGGGATAAAGCCAGTGATTGATGAGGTGGGATGGGGGTTCCGCTTATGGAGCCGTTGGGGAAGAAATAGAAGGCAGCCAAGCAGGCCGAGGGCTGAGAAGAGAGGGTTGCCAGGAACTCAGCTGCTTCTCTCGGGTTGTTTTGCGTTTCTAGCTTGCCTTTAAACGAGACTATAAGCAACTGGAGAACGAAGGCCTTGTCTTAGGGACATTTATAGCAGAGCACGTTGCAGGTAGTTGCAACTCAAGAACTATCTACTATCTGATTAATTGGAGGGAAATGAAAAGGATGAGAGGAAAGCTGGAAAACTGTTCGAATGTAGAAAACAGGTGGCTCTCTGGGGAGAAAGGAAGCATCCACTGAAGAAATGACATGGTTCTAATAACAGGCAGAGAAGAACCGTTCGTCAGCAGGGGTTTTGGACTAGAGCAGACAACGACGAGGAGCTGGTGCCCAGGGCTTCTCCTGGATGCAAAGAAAAAAAAATATTTGAGACAGTGTTACAAAGGCAGAAGCAATATACCATTTCTTTCTGGTAACGTGGGAAAACAGAGGGAACGGAAGGAGGACCCCTGCATATCTGAGCTTCCTGTGCCACCAAAATAGTGGAATGAAGGAATCCAGGGTGGGAGGTGGGGAGAGAGAGATGACTCTGGAATTTGCTTGTCATCTTGGCTGGAGTGAGCTTGAATGGGAGAGAGAGAGAGAGAGAGAGAGAGACTGAGAATAATGGGAATTGGTAGATCAATCAATCAGCAAATATTTATTGAGCAGCTACCCTGGCTGGCAGCTGGAGAGAGCTCAGCTGGAGAGAGGCACATTAGAAAATTGTCTATAAAAAGGTGGTTGTGTGGGAGAGGGAGGGATGTGTTCTGGAACAGGATAGAAGGAGAAGCAGGGCTGCTTTGTTGTAGGACTCGGCGGGGGCGGGGGGCGGGGGCGTTTATAGTCTGTAGCCTCGGGGAAAAGCGCTTCTGGAGTTGCAAGGCCCTGCACACCAGACCCAGGGAGAGGAACCTAACCCACGAAAGACCTATGGTCCTACACGAGGAGGGGGAGAGCCACTTCCTGGGAAAGAGACCACGACGAGTGCAGATGGGCCTGCTCACCCACCCTCCTTCCCTTCCTCCTCAGGGCTCTGGACGCTACTCAATCTATATCGCCAATTATGCCTACGGTAATGTAGGCCCTGATGCCCTCATTGAAATGGACCCCGAGGCCAGTGACCTCTCCCAGGGCATTCTGGCTCTCAGAGATGTGGCTGCTGAGGCTGGGGTCAGCAAATACACAGGTAGGCAGAGTGACGTGGGGTGGCGGGCTGGGGTGCTGTGAGTTGGAAGGGCGGGAGGCCTGGGGCTGGGCCCTGCAAGGCTGCATCTGGTTCATCAGAGACCACAGGAGAGGGTGGGCTTGTGTCCCTGGGGAAGGGAGGATGAAGGCTTTATTCCATCCCATCACCCAGAGGCAGCTTCTCCAACACTGCCTCTCCAGGGGTTGGTGGGCTATCTGGCAGGCGTGGGCTTTGGGGGACCCCATGGGGATGTGGGACATAGGATGAGAACACTGTAACATCATCCACTCCCTGGAACCTCTTGCCCCATCCCCTGCTGTAACCCAAATGATGGGTGAACAGGTCCTGTAGGAGAAAACTGACAAATCACAAAGGCCGAGATTTAAAGCATTCTTTATTGCCAAACAGCAGATGAAATTATTTACTTATACATAAGCGGCCAGGAATTGAGTGCTAAATCCCTAAGCTTCAGCTGGGTCCCATCTCAGATAACTGAGCTCAAAGAATTGTGTTCTTGTTCCAAATCCTCTCCAGCCCCTTTTTTTGAAGCTGTGCTCCCCCCACACCTCTCTGGATGGGGGACCTATTGTCAGAGTCTCTGACGGAGATCTTTCTAGGGAAGGTTGTTTTTCTAATTCTAGCACGGCTGCTGACTAAACTCTGATAATCTGCCAATAGACTGCTGATGGCAGAGCAGTCCAATTCCTGTTTGGGGTGCCAAAAATCAGGAAGCCGGAGCTGTGCACAACGTCTCACGTGAACTTCCGCCTCCCTCGCCCTGATCCTCTCTTTTGGACATAGAGATCCTCTTGCCGGTTGACCTTCCCAATATATCCATCCCAACTTGCACTATAGACTTCCAAAAGGGCAGCCCACCCAAATCCAAATCCTGGGGCTCCGAAGGATGCTTGGTGGGGGTCATTTGGGCCATCCCCCTGCCTCCATACACCTGGGGGGGTAGCACACTCTCAAAGCCCTACCTAGAAAGGGTTGTCGCAGCCTCTCCTGAGTTTATGATGCCTTTCTCTAGCCAACTTTCCACCTCGGTGAAACAGGGAGATGGATGTTGACCTGACAAAGTTTGTGGGAACAAACGGCTAGACAGTAAAATAGTTTGCACAGTTCCAGCCCCATCGAAGTGCTCAAGAGCTCCGCACGTGAATGTGCAGCCTTTCTGGCTGAGTGTCAGTAATAAACCATGCTTTCCTGGGAAAAGGAATAAACATGCAGGAGCTTCAGCCTAGATTTGTACAGTCAATTTTTCTGAATAGTTCCCAGTTCTGTGCATTGGGCTGGCTTGGCAATTAAGTGCCTTGATCTGCAGGAGGAGAGTGGGCTGGGGAGATGAAGCACTTGAAAATGATGAGCTGGAGGGAGGCGAGGTCTGGGAGAGAGGCTTCTACACAGAATAAAAGAATTCAGGAGGTTGTGGCTGGGTCCGAGCATGAAGGCGACATTGTTCACGCTGGCTGGGCTGGTGCACGGGCTGGCAGGAAACCAGGGGGGGGCCAAGAGGAGACAGCTGAGGAGGACGGTTGGGGATAGGAATAGTAGCCAACTGTGCCAGGCTGTGCTGGAAGGACCGGGAAGTTCAAGGAAAGGCCAGCAGTTTCTGTGGAGCATGCAGGCAGGCTGGGGCAGCTGGTGTGCCCAGAGGACAGGTTAGAGCAGCTCTGCAGACTTCCAAAAGCCATTTGGCTGACAAGAACCTGTTTGGCCCACCAAGTTACTATTGTGTCTGCCCGCCTTCCCCAGCCCACCCTTTCCTTGCCCGCCAAGCCCCTCAACTCTACCCCGTGGCCCCCGTTATCACTTCGTTAATGACACATGGACATCTGGCTGGAAAACTAGCCCAAAGCACCCCCCGATGCCCCAGGGACGGACCCCAAATGGAAGGGCCACCACTGGAGCCCGGCCTGATTGCTGAGGGGCCTGGAGAAGGGAGGGAAGCCGGCAGTGATGAGCCGGGGCCTGAGCAGACCCAGGGGCCGGGGGGGGCGGGAAGCCAGCCATGGCCAGATGTGCAGTCAGGGAGCCACAAGTCCCCAGAGCCCAGCCACACAACACCCAGCTGCTGGACAGACCTTGGAGAACCTCTTGTTTTCCAAAAGAACAAACCGAGGTCCAGAGAGAAGGGGCTTGCCCAAGGTCACACAGAAGGTTTGTCGGGAAACTAGCACCCAGAGCCCCAACCCCCAAAGCTTAACCAGCCACAACCCGCTGACCTTTCTGATGACCTCCAGTTTGAGCATCCCAGCTTCAGCCTGCAAAACAGGAGGGGCTGGTGAAGGAGGAAGGCCCTGCACCCACCGGGACACAGCCCCAGGGATTGGCACTCAGGGGCTTGATTTTGACCCCCCAGTTTTCGTGGCTCAAGCAGCTGCTTGGCCTAGGCTGTGCCGGTCAGCAGGGGGAGGCCCCGGCAAGCGGTCGGCAGGCGGGCCAGCGGTGCTGCCCGCTCTCCCGCGGGGGAGGGGAGGCCTTCTCTCCGGACTCGAGAGGGTCCCCCGGCGGCCGCTGCTCCGCTAGGTCACAGTGCCATCTAGCGGCCAGCATGCCCACTCTCGGGGGACCGGAGGGCTGTGGGCTGACAAAGGGGCTGGTGCTGAGTTGAGGGAGGCAAGCCCACTCCCCCATGGTTCTGGTTCAAGGAGAATCCCAAGCCCTGACTTTCCCAGATGCCTGCAGCCCTTCAGAGCCTGGACGGTGCAAGGAATCCTGAGAATTAGTTGTCCATGTGGCCGAGGGCCTGGCATGGAACCCAAGGAGAGGGAAGGTGAGGACCCAGAGATCTGCACTGGCCTCTGCAGCCCTGGGTGACCTTGGGCTGGGTCCAGCCTCTCTGAGCACCTTGAACTCGTGGTCTGAACTATGGTCTTGTAGAGCTGCTGAGAGGACAGGATCTGGTGCCACGGTGCTGGTACAGATCCTGCCTCAGCCACCTGTCCTGTCCAGGCAGCGATTAGCAATTTATTAACCTCATGGGCCTCAGTTTTCTCGCCTGCAGTGGGAGCATGAGAGTGACAGGAGGCATAGGACATGCCTGGCACAGGCCCGGCTCAGGGACAGGACCCTCGGAGTACAGTAGACAGAGACACCCTCCTCATCTGAGGTGCCCAGGGGGATGCCAGGGCCGTCGGCTGGGCATTTCCCGGGTGCTGGGCACAGGAGAGGCACAGAGCAGGCCCGGCCAGCCCTGCCCTGGAGGCGATCTCCGTGGGTCTCCCTGCCCACCCTCCAGCCCTGGGTATAGTCACGGGCATCTTCACGCCCCTCTGCACTGCAATCCGTTGGTCTTCCCTCTTCACCCTGCCTCCCCACCCCCGCCAGCCTCTACCCCCTCCCCAGGAGCTCTGCATTTCAGAAAGCCTCACCTTTTGAGGGAGCATCTGCCTGGGTTGCAGGGTGGTGATTAAAGAATCCTTACAAGAAATTTGGAAAGAAAATGAAGGTGGATTTATGATATGGGGTGGGGATTTTTGCTGTTGGCTGGGAGCAGTGTAGAACAAAGTGGAGGGCAGATCTGATTTATAGGAAGTCATTATCGGTGGAGAAGGAGAAGCCTAAAGCCCAGCTGAGGCCTTCTGGCGGCTCCCCATCAGCCCACTCCAGAGAGGTGGCTGTGGGCAGTAGAGTGGGGGCCACGGAGCCCCCCAGGCTGGCAGGTGGCCACTGCCTTGCAGCGGGAGCACAGCGGATGTGACAGGCAGAGCTAGAGTAACAGGCTCTCCACCAGGGCCTGGGACCCTCAGGGAGTGCAGCCACAGGCCTGCCAGGGTCCCCAATGCCCCAGGACATGTGCGGTGTCAATGCACTGGATGATTGACAAGAAAAGACAATTTCTTTTTCTTTCAAAACAAACACAAATACTCTAATAATAGAAATGTGATGTTGGTGCAGTTTCTTCTGCTAAAATAAGAGATTTAAAAGAAAGATCAAGCCTGTGGCTGGCCACTCCAGGCCTTACCAGGAGTCCAGCTCCCTCTCCTGCTGAGAGGCAGCTTGTGTAGAAGGGCTTGAGAGCACGCTGGGGGGCTAGCACAGGCGCTGGGGTCACTCAGATGTGGGTTTGAACTGCGATCCGCAGCCTGCTGGCTGCAGTCGTACCTCCTTGAGCTTCGATTTCCTCACCTGGAAACCGGTGCAGTGGGATGAGACGCAGATGACACCTAGGACAGGGGACTGGAAAACAGGTGGCCAGAGGAGCCGGTCCTGCTACTCCTTTCCCTGCCCTCTCTCCTCAAAGAGCTTCTTCAGACCCCTGCCTGTTCTCCCGCCCACCGCCCCCTCAGCGTCCTACAGGGAGGGGGCTGCAAGCATTGAGGGAGGAGTGGAATGTCCGTGTCTAATACCCTCCACCTGTGTGCTCAGAACCCTACTGGGTACCTGGACGGCTCACAGAGGTCTCGTGGGTAGCAGCACCAGCACCAACACAGTATTATTCTATGTTTGAATGTTCGGGAAACTTAGGATGAAAGACCCGGTTACCATCCTGCCCTGACCCTCACTCCCTGTTTTCTCACGCACACGCGCGCGCGCGCACACACACACACACACACACACACACACTGCCCATTCCTCCACCCCTATGTTTTCCAGCATCTTTGCTATCCTTCTACAATTTCTTGGATGCTCTTGGCAGCCTGTGGGCCTTGGCATCCACAACAATTGTATTCTATTGAGGTCTCAGTAGATTGATCCCACGGGTCCTGAGTCTTGGGCCAAAGGGCCTTGCAAAGCCTCTACTGGTGTGGGCTCCAGGTGGACCCGGGAGTCTACTCCCAGCCACACTTATCCTCCAGTTTCAGCCTGGAGGATGCACTAGAAGAGTGGGAAGGAGCCTTGGAGATCTCATTCCCCTCCCCAGTTTATGGGGAGGGCGACCAGGGCCTGGAGAGCACACAGCTCAAGTTCCTGGAACAGGAGCAGGTGCAGAAGCCAAGCAAGGACCTAGAGGACTTTCCTGAGCATGGCAAATACCCCTGCCCCCTCGGGCCCGGATCCGGCTCACAACAGCAAGCCCCCCCTTATTCCACGCAGCCTCGCTTTCCCATCATCACCCGACCACTTCCAGCTCCCAGATACAACCTGGCCTGTCGGCAGACCACCCCAACACTGCCTACATGCAGTCTGAGAAATGGATTGCCTATACCCAAACTGCACTTGAGTCTGCATCGCCAGAATGCAGGGGTTCAGAGGTTTAGGGGTACAGTGCTTGAGGGTAAATGAGGCTACCCCGCAGGGCTCAGGACCACTGGGCAGATAATCAGAGGGGGTGCCGGAATGTGGTGGGAGGACGAAGGGCATTGGGGAGGCATTTTCCCCTGCAACTCCAGCTCTCCCACCCAGCTTCATGGGCAGAGTGAGAAGTCTTCAGGAGGGGTTGGGCAGGGCACGGCGTTTGCACCCAACAGCAGAACAAGGAGGCCTTAGAAGCCTGAAAGTGCTGGGGAAATAAGGGGATTTTATTCACCTAGCAGGTGGGAAATCGTCCCAGCTAATGATGATGTGGCACCTGACATTTTCCAAAGTACCTTCCGAAAACCAGCTCACTTAATATTTATGACAGCCTGAGAAGAAGCCATTGTTACTATCAGCCTCACGTTAGCGGTGAGAAAACAGATACCCAGAAGGGTTCGATGATGTGCCCAAGGTCACACGGACACTTTCTGATGCCCGTCTTCCAGGGTTGCGTCTCCAGCCCCAGCTGGGGAGGTGCTTGTCCCCAAGAGGATGTGCCCACCTCACATACAGAAGAAGTAATTGATGTAAAGTAGAATTTAACTCGCTATTGGGACATCATCCTCCAAGGCAGAAATAAAGTTGTTCCTAACGGCCCCTTGGGTGGCCCCAGAAGGTGTGCGCTAAACCTCAGGAGGGAGAAGAGTTGGGGGAGGGGAGAATGTCCAGGTAGAAGATACTGAATCAGGAACCTCTGTCGTGGACCACACAGGATGGATGGATTTTATTGGTTTGGAAAAGATTTACATGATCCACCTGGGAGTAGAGTTTCCTCCGCAGCTCAGCAAGGGGTGCAGACACCCGGCCACCCCTGCCTCAGACCCGAGTTCAGCTCTCCATCCTGAGGCTGCTGGGGCCAGTGCCCAAGAGGCTGGCTCCCTGTCGACTCACCTGCTCCCCAACTGTGCGGCGAACTTGCCAAGAAGGAGTTGTGGGTAACATCTCTGTTATGGTCTGGTTGCCATGGCAATAAATTGTCACTAATTAGTAGTGTGGTTACCATGGCAATTTTCTAATAATTACAGGTTACAAATGGTACAAGGCTTCAACCCAACCCAATTAGTTAATTAGAAAGATTTAGAAATTTGTCCAAGAGGGAAATAACCTGCTTTGTAGAAAATGAAGAGAATGTGTCACAGCTTGAAAGCCAGAAGCAGAGAGGAAATTGGAGGACACTAGAGTGAGGAGGACGGACGGGGTTGCATGGTGGTAAGTCCCAGAGCCCCACCTGGCATTTCCAGGGACCCGGGCAAGGCCCGGGGTTTCTCACTGAAGCCTGGCCCTGGGCTGGAATCTGGCAGGACGGGGGCAGGGCCAGCTGCCCGCTCTGGGGCTCCTCTCTGAATGTGCAGACATGGGGCCCAGGTTACAGCCCAGCAGCCCTCCCCGCTGGCCTCCGATAGCCTCCCCGCCCCGCGCTCTGGCTCTCCTAATGAAAAACGCACGCCACATCTTAGATGATGCTCCCCAGGAGCCCTGTGGATTTGGTGACTCCATTTTCAAGAGGCTTGGGCTCTCCTGGAGAGCTAATTAGATTACCTGGGAGGAATATGGGAGGCACAGGGCCCAGAGTGTGTTCATTTGGAGCTCAACCGTGAGAGCGAGGAGAGTGGCAATGCCGTTGGACCCATCCCCTCCTCCTGGCCCCCAACACCCAACCTGTTGGGCAGGCTGCTTTGCACAGGTGAGAAGTCCCCATGATTTCCTCCAGGGCCCTCTCTCAGAGGGCAGGAGGGGCCCGGTGACCAAGAGAACCTCCATCCCACATCAGCACAGTTTATGGAAACCTCTTCCCCATCCAGAGCCAGGCAGGCAGGCAGGTGGGGGGCGGGGGGGCGGCGGCCAACATCTCTCAGGTCTGCCTGACTCTCGTTTATTTAACAAATAACAACACTAAGTTGTTCTGAGTTCTCTGATGACTATTCTTATTGTACTGAATAGCCCATTAGAGCCTCACCTTTCAAACTTGACTGTGTACATAGCCACCCAGGGGTCCTGCTAGAATGCAGGTCCTGACTGGTTGTGGGGTGGGGGTGGGGGGCTGAGATTCTGCCTTTCTGACAAGGCGGCACCTTTGCGGCGGGCCCACGGACCTGACTTGGAGTAACAAGGTGGTAGGATTCACAAAGCCCTTTCACGTGTCTCACTTCATGCGATCCTCGTAAAAATCCTAAAATAGAAAAGGCAGGTCATGCTACCCTCATTTTACAGATGAGGATGCTGAGGCTCAAAGGGTACCATAAATTGCCCAAGGTCACAGAGCTCGTAAACAGCCGCCCTGGGACTAGAATCCACATCCCGGTCCTGGCCGGGCTGTCTTCTGCCCAGTATTCCCATTGACTGGGGTTTCCGGGCTTGATTTGAAACCCAGTGGTTGGGGCTCTTTGTTCAAGATGTCTTCATATTGGACTTGTTGACACGGGTAGCTCAAATTTGATCTTGGAGACATCAAACCCTAATGTCGAGCTGGCTTGATTTCTTTCTTTTTTAAAAAGTATGCAGTTACTGGATTTTTTCCTTTCCAACTGCAGAAGCAATTCTGTTGCAACAAGCCAAAACACAAAGACGTTCCCAAAAAAGGCGAACTCCCGTCTCTCCCTCCCTCCCCAAATCCCACCCCATCTGGTAGCCAGGGTTAACAACGCAGGGCGTGGCCTTTCCCACTTTCCCCCAAACTCAACAACAAGCTTGCACAAACACATCCAGAAATATCATGTATTTTCCTTTTTTTTTTAATAAAGCTAAGATGACACAATACCGTTACTTGGTGAATTGTTTTTTCATTTAACAGTATGTCGTGGGCACCCCTGCAAGTCAATACATACGGATCTACACAGTCTTTTCAGCAGCTACAGAACGGTCCGCCCAATGCATGCAGCACAATCCATTCAACCAGTCGTTGTTGATGGACTTATAGGCTGTTCCCAGTTGCTTTACTATATCAAGCAAAGCCAAGAAAGCAGCCTGTAGCCTTAGCCGGAACCCAGTCCTCTATGTTCTTAGGACAGGAGCACACCCAGTGTCTTGACTCTGGGTGGGGGTGGGGGTTGTCAGGAAAATCTGTGACTTGATCAAGTGGGTAGGTCTGGGCTGGGGGATCGTTGTGAGTCAGCCTCCGAAGGGAAGGAAAGGATCTGTAGGGTGGCCTCTGTGTTCTGTAGGTCATGGGATCATGGCTTGGGCACAAAGTACTCTGTCTTGCCCCTCCCTTGCCTCATCATCGGTGTGGTCATCCTCCACACAAGTTTACAGGACTGTGAGCCCAGATCTGAGCTCAGAGAAGCATCCAGATTGTTGTCCCCAAAGCTCTTCTGAGGCATCACCATAGCGCTTCTCAAAGGCCTCAGAGGTACCCCCGCCCTCCTCGCGGGCCTGAGGCTTTGCTTCTGCCACTCACTGTGGGTCACTGTCCTGTCCTAGGGGGCCGGGGTGTCAGCGTGGGCCCCATCCTCAGCAGCAGTGCCTCAGACATCTTCTGTGACAACGAGAATGGGCCCAACTTCCTCTTCCACAACCAGGGTGATGGCACCTTCGTGGATGCTGCTGCCGGCGCCGGTGAGTGCGGCCACTGCCCCCATGTCCCTCAGTGCCCCAGACTCTCATGGGCCTCTGGGCGCCCCGCCCCCTCCAGCATGGTGCCATGGGCCTCAGGGAGACTGGGACCAGTAATCATGCGCACCATGCAGGGAGACATGGCTTGTCACCTTCAATTCCACAACCCCCAAGGCTCAGGCCCCAGGGTGGGTGTGCTGCGGGGGAAAGGGGGAGCCTGGAACTCCTGACCATTATGCATTTTCCAGCAACTAGATTTGGCCCACGTTCCTCTGAGTCCTGCTTGAGTCCTCAGCATTAATTTCCCCTCCAAGCTGCCTCTTTCCAGTTCCCCTCCCCACATTCACCGTAATCATTGAATTCAATCCAGTAACCATTTCTTGAGCCCCTGCTAAGTGCCAAGTGGTGCTAAGAGCTGGGGACGCTGACCCTAATAAGGTTATACCACCCTACCCTACCTGACACACATACACACACAGGCATGGACATTCTAGAGTGGAAAACAGATGAATAAACAAATAGCTAAGTAGGAAAGAGACTAAAATCCACAGAAAATACGGGCGCCTGGGTGGCTCAGTTGGTTAAGCGACTGCCTTCGGCTCAGGTCATGATCCTGGAGTCCCGGGATCGAGTCCCACATCGGGCTCCCTGCTCAGCGGGGAGTCTGCTTCTCCCTCTGACCCTCTTCCCTCTCGTGCTCTCTCTCTCTCATTCTCTCTCTCTCAAATAAATAAATAAATAAAAATCTTTAAAAAAAATAAAATAAAATCCACACAAAATAGTACTTCAGGCCCCCAGTTCTGCTCCCCTTCCTCCCTTTGTGCTCACCCCTCATCTGCCTCAGGACCTTTGCACCTGCCAACTCTCTCTGCCTGAAAGTGCCTTCTCCCTTTTCTCTATCCGCAGAAATCCTATTTGTCCTTCAACACTCAGCTCTGTGAAGTCTTTCTTGCCTCCCTCTGTGCTACCTGGCAGAGATTCACACTCTCTCCTCTTCATTCACCCTGCCCTTGCATGTACTTCTCAATCAGGCTTCTATGTCGCTAAAATAATCTATGTCTACAAGGACTGGGCGCTGTACTGTTCATTCTTGACACAACACTTGGCACACAGTGGTCACCCAGTAGATTTTGCTGAATGGCAGAAAGGACACCTAATGAAACTTTGTGGATGTAATCAGTCTGCCCTTCAACCACTTCTTCCTCCCCACCCACTTCCTCCCCACCTTGCCAATGAAAGGATTGATTTTGCCCCTTTCTGGACAGCATAGGGATGAGTTCTAGCCTCCAGAAGAAGAGGTGAGCGGGGATCAGACACAGAAATCAAAGGTCCTACAAGCTCCAGCTAGTGCTGACAGCTAGCCTCAAATCCCTGAGCGTCTGCCAATCCATCGTCTGTGACTTACAAGTACCGAATCCCCCGCTCTCCGCTAAGGAGTGCCCACTTTGAGCACCACCCCTCCACTCGTAGCCAGTCAACTCCCCCTCGTGCCTTGCCCTCTTCTCCTTCCTGGGCAAAGCTAGAGCTGGAGGCCTCTCCCCTGGCCTGTCCTCCCACCTGGCACACACGTGCGCACACACGCATGCACACACACACACACACACCCCCACAGTGCTATATCCTCTGGCAGCAAATTTTCTCATTGCTGAAAAATCACAAAATGAAGGGGAGGCGGTGGTGGAGAAAACTTAGAGGATTTGATAAGGTGTTAAAGAGATGGGAGCGGAGGTGAGCGAACAAGTTGGAGTGGGAGAAGGTATCTGGCGGGAGGAGAGAGGAAAGGTGCTAGGCCCGTAATTGCAAGTCAGAATGATTGCAGGGGTTTAACAAGACATGTCAAGAGGGCATTCATCACCCAAACAGATGCTGCTGTGAAATGCAGCCTGGCACCGGTTATTCCCGTGAAAGGGAACCAGCTCCTTGTCAAGGTGCCTCGCAGATAGCAGACACATGGGCCAGCATGGAAGACCACTGACATTAGGGCTGGGGAGTTTTGTAGAGAATTAATGGGGTATTCATCCTAGAGGTTAGAGGTTTCCCCCGCTCCTTGGCAGAGCCTCTTCCTCAAGCCTAGGGCTCACTGTCTCTTCTCCCTGCACCTCACGCCCATCGTGCAGATCCTTCACTCCCCCAAGAGGGTACTCAGCCTCCAAGGTTCTCAGGGGGCCCCACCCCCACCTTCCCCTGGCTCCCGCCCCCAGGAGCTCTGTGGTTGCAACTGGCACGAGCTCCCTGGGCCCTGGACTCTGTGATCCTGCCTCCATTGTATTGTCCTATCGCCCACCATCTCCGAGGGCCCGATGACCAACGGCAGCTTGTCCTCCGAAAGAGTCAGCATGGGTGTTGAGAACCAGCATCCACCACCTCTCAACTCTGCGCTTGGCCTGATGGAACATATCTGCCTTGGGCCGCCAGGAGGTCAGGCCATCCCTCTGGGCAAAGCCAGCCCCTGTCCTCCCCCAGGATTGGCTCAGTGGGCAACTGGCAGATGCAGGGACAGCAGAAGCAGGCGACACTGGACACAGAAGCTTCTCTTCCCTGAGCTCCCAAGGCACACTATGGGTTTCTGTGTTATGATGTGACATTTCCTCTGCTGTCACCAACATCCCCGGGTGCCTTCTGTCAAATTATTTATGTCTCTTCATTCATTCAGCAAGTATTTACTGAAAACTACCAGGTCAGATGCTGCGTGAACACAGGTGAACAAGAAGATGGCCCCTGACCTCATGGAGTGTAAGGTCTAGTGGGGAAACCGGACGCTAAGCAAGTAAACCGCAAAGGAACATAATGGCCCCTGTGATCAGCACAGTGGAGGGAAAAAATGAGAGGCTGTCAGGACAAATAACAAGTAGCTGGGAGGAACTGTTTGCGTGGGAGTGGTCAGGGAGGGCTTCCCTGAGGAGGTGACGTAGTAGCTAAGAGCAGAAGAAAACCAAGGAGCCAGGTAACCAAGAGCACAGGGAAGAGCATTCCAGGCACAGCAACAAGCTTGAGCAAAGGCCCAAATGCCAGAAAGAGCAGGGCTCCTTTGAGGAATGACAGGAACATAGGTAGCCAGAGCTTATGAGTAAGGGGGGAGGGCGAGGGGTACCAGATAAGGCGGGCAGGGGCCTTGTGCTCCCCAGGCAGGAATTTGAACTTGACCCAGCAGTACTGGGGAGCCACCGAGAGATTTAAGCATAAGAGAGATGACCAACTTACTATACCCCAGTGGCAGTGTTGGGGTGGCTGGAGAGGCCTTTGGTCCTCCAGAATTTCCATGTCTCCGTCCCCTACCCATGCTACCCCAAAACTGAGTGAAAATCGTGTGCTTGCTGGGCAGATGCAGCTGAAGGGGCAAGTCTGGTTCCCTTTGCAACCACCTCCTGCCCCCATGGAGAAATTGTGACCCAGCAGCAGCAGCTCCCCAGCTCCCCGTCTGCTCCCGGGGAGGGCAGGGTCGGCACAAGGGTCACCCTCCCCGCCGCTCTCCAAGGAGCTCCAGCAAGGTGAGCATTCGTGGAGCCTGCAGGGAGCGCTGGCCTGAGGGTCCCTGTCTTTCCTCCCCAGGCGTGGACGACCCCCACCAGCACGGACGAGGTGTTGCCCTGGCCGACTTCAACCGCGACGGCAAAGTGGACATCGTCTATGGCAACTGGAACGGCCCCCACCGGCTCTACCTGCAGATGAGCGCCCATGGGAAGGCCCGCTTTCGGGTAAGAAGGGACCTCTTCCCCCGGCCCCCCCAGCACTGCGAGTGGCCCTGGCGTGTCCCGGGGATGCAGCCTCACCTGCGCCTCCCACCAGGCTGAGAAGGGGCTCGTGGCTCCGCAGGGCCGGGAGGCAGGACAGCCGCAGGGAAGATAACATCTGGGCGGAGATGACGGACTCCAGCCTGGGCTTCTGTCCTGTCTCTAGCGCCCGAGGCAGAGAGAGCCACTGGCAGATGGGGGACAGCAGCTTCCCATGGTGGGCAAGAACTGGGCAGTGAAGGCTCTGGGCTTCATTCCTGGATTGGCAGCGTTTTTCCAGGTGGCTCCTGGAAAACCTGATCTTTTCAAGTTGAAGTTCTGGCTAAGGGTGCAGCGAGGAAGAGAGGGACCGGGGAGGGTGAGGCTACAGAGCTCCCAACAGCTGCCCCCAAGGAAAAATGGCAGGTGGTGGACGAGATGACCTGCAGCCCCTCTCTGTGCCCCCTCCCTGAGCTGTCAGTAGACTGCAGTGCCAGGAATTCTTCGAAGGGGCTGTTGGGTGACAGGAATAGAGGTGCCACCCCCCTGATGAGCTGGAGTTTGGGGCTTTCTCAGGCAGCTCTCATAGGATGCTTGAAACTGATCTCAGTGAGTCCGGATGGTTCTGGAGGTACCTAGGTTTCGCCAAAATCCCCTGCAGGAGTGAGAATTTGCCTGATGCTGGGATGATCCCAGGGGAGTCTCTGGGAACCTTCTGTCTGGGTCACCACCACAAGCTTCCTCCGTTGTAGGCAGCCACCTGAGGAGGCTCAGGCCCAGCTGCTCCCTCCCTTGAGATCCGGGCTCTCTGGGTGAGAAGGAGGCATGCCCTGAACTCAGGCAGTTGATCCTGGGATTCTGGATGATTTTCATCCTTACTCCGTTTTTTGTTATTTGTATATTTTGTGCATGCACGCACACACACGAGTTGGGGGAGGAGCAGGGAGACAGAATCCTCAAACAGACTCCCTACTGAGCGTGGAGCCGGACGCGGAGCTCAACATGGGGCTCAATCCTATGACCTGTGAGATCACGACATGAGCCAAAACCAAGAGTCAGACACTCAACCAACTGAACCACCCAGCCGCCCCCAGCTTTTTGTTCTAACTCAGGTTCTCAACCAGGGGTGAGAACCTGGACATTTTCTCCCTAGGACATTTGACAATGTCTGGGGACATTCTTGGTTGTCACAAATGGGAGAGGGGTACGACTGGCTTCTAGTGGGTAGAGGCCAGGGATGCTGTTAAATGTCCTATAAAGCACAGACGGCCCCTCCAGCAAAGAATGATCCAGGTCCAGACATCAGTGTGCTGTGCTTGAGGAGCACGGCCAAGCCTTCTGGTGGCCCCTCACCAGAGGTCAGAGGAGCAATGATAATGATAATAGATGCCCCATTTATCGGGTGCCTTCCATGTGCCAGGAACCGTGCTAAGCGCTTTACATACCCTATCTCAGAAGCCCAGGCGTCCAGTGGGGCAACCCAAGGGAGCTATGTAGTTTTCCATTTTTATAGGATCAATAGAATAATAATGAGTTAGAGATCCTGCGGTCTCTTTTCCTCCAGCTCTTAAGCCCCTGCTCAGCCCACCCCGGCCAACTGGCCAGGCTCTTAATCAGCCTCATTACTGCGCTGATGGGGACAACCTCCCTCCTGGCCTCCCCAGAACAGGCAGCTCATCAGCTCTCCCAGTTGGGCTCATTCCTGCAGCTGATGGAGGGGGTCCTGCAGTGAGGGGCCAAGGAGCAGGCCAGGGGGAAGAGGGGCGCTCCCAGAGATACTAACTGTCCCTTCCCAACCCTTTCCAAGGGGGCCCTGAGAGTTAGGCTGCTAGAATCTTTAAGGGACAAAACCATCTGTGATTATAATCAAAAGGTTGCTTTCCACACCTCTTCTTCTATTTCAAAGGAAGTCCCACACCTGGGACCCTTTGCCGGGTCCACCAGGGCCGTGTCAGCACTTTGAGGTCCAAGCTGGGCTCTCCTGGGCCTAGGGACTCCCCGTGAACCCTGGACAGGTACATCTGATACTGCAAACCCCCAAAGCAAGTGTCTCCAAAAAATCGAAAAACTCCCAAGAAAAAAACAAAAGATAACAGCAAAAACACAGCTAGAAGCCACCCCTGCTGCCTTCCACGGGGCTGACGGCATGAGCAAGGCCAGGACAGATGCCAGGGATCTAGTTCATGCTCCGTGCTTGCCAAGCATTTTACATGCAGTGCCCACAGCCTGAGCCACTATTCCTAGCCCCGTGTTACTGATGGAGAGAGTGAGACCTGAGAGGTTAATAACTTGCCCGAGATCACACAGCTAGTCAGCAGAGAAGCCTGGATTCAAATGCACAGCACTTTCCAGTGTCCCCCACCCCCGACCCCCCACTTCTGACTCTCCTGCAGAGGAGGAAGGACATAGCATCTTGAGTCAAAAGCCCCGGCTACCAGCCCATCATTAGCTATGAGCATGCGGGGTTCCCCTCCCTCCCCCAGGACGCGATCGCCTCACCTGCAGAATGGGAATGGTAATGTCTGCCCTGCCTCAAGTGCCTGGTGGGAGAGCTGTGTGTGACCCTGACCAGGGAAGAGCCAGGTGCTCCGCTGGTGTGAGCTGGGACTGTCCCTCTCACCTCCTTGTCCTCCTCCAAGCATCCCGAGGTCTGTGTGGTCCTGGTGCAGCCACCACAGGTCCCTCCAGGGGAGGTGAGAGGGGAGGTGTTAGGTAGGCTGTCTCTTCTCTTGGTTGGCACCCCCCCACACACCTCTGTCTGCTGACCTGCGCCATCTCCCCTGCCAGGACATCGCCTCACCCAAGTTCTCCATGCCGTCCCCGGTCCGCACAGTCATCGCCGCCGACTTTGACAATGACCAGGAGCTGGAGATCTTCTTCAACAACTTTGCCCACCGCAGCTCCTCAGCCAACCGCCTCTTCCGGTGGGCGCTCCATCCTGGCCAGTGGCCTCTCGCTACTGCAGGCTGGCAGTCGGGGAGGAAGGTGTAGGACTCAGAGGGGTGTTCCCAGGGCTGAGGTGCAGGAAGGTCCCCTGATGAAGGAACAGAGAGGAGGGAAGGAGGGGTTGAGCAAGAGGCTGTGGAGAGGAGGGCAGATCCTGGGCAGGAAGCCGGCCTCCTGCTGTTGTGGGGGGGGATGGGCAGAGGGACATGGCCCAAAGTGTGCCCAGAAGCCAAGCTCTGCAGGAGAGAAATCCACACTACCACAAAAAGGAGTTACAGAGTCAAATTTGTTTAGGTGCGCCTGGAGTACGCAGACAGGCAGGTTTACTGGCTGCAGGACTTCTCAGGGCCTTTAACATGACCGTGAGCGTTTTTACTTTCTGAAAGGTAGATGGAGTATTCCAAATAGATTTGGCCACAGGACACCCCTTTCAAAGATTTTCCCCTTGGGACTGGTGCTCTGCAAAACATCCCCTGGGAAATGCTGGATGAGACAATTAATGGTAGACAAGGAAAAGGGAGTGGCAGAATGGAAGGAATATGCAAGCATCTGCATCTGGGGAGGAAAGGTTGGATGTTCAGAGGCAATACTTCTCTAAGAGGGGTCCGGGGACCATTGGCATCAGAATCACCCGAAGTGCTTATTTAAAGTACAGAATCCCAGGGCCCACCCAGATCTCCTGAATCAGAATCTCCAGGGGTGAGGCCCAGGAATCTCTATTTTTAACAAGTGCACTGGGCATCAGGTGCTTCTTATCACACTAAAGTTTGAGAACTGCTGTTGGGGAACCATAGGACCCATGTGGCCTGAGACAACCCTTTTCCTGGCCTAAAACATGCTCCTGGGCCTCAGGAGTCAGTGGGGAGAGGAGGCAGGTAGAGCAGGGGGCCTTGGATTCAGGAAATGGGCCCGATCACCTGCTCGGCTCCACGGGGCCCCCATTCCTTACCCCAGGGGGGACCCAACTATGAATAAAAGGCAAGAGCTGTGACTAAACATGTTTTAAAATATAATTATTAACAAAGCATCAATCCTGACTGGATGTAATCACCCCCCGAAGGCACTAGCTTTACTAATTGGGTGCCTTGCAAAAAGCTTATTCACAACTTCCAGATTAATTGCGGAAGATCAATTGCTCGTTAACAGAGACACTGCTTTCCTTCTCTGGCTAATAAAGTGTCACTCGCCAGGGCCCCTGAGCACGAGGGAGTCTAGTGCTCTGGTCGCTGTGGCCCGAGAACCCAGGCACCTCCCCCGTCTGCCTGCCCACCTGGCTCTGTCACACCACCCAGCCTCCCTCTGGCCACCCCAAGGGCAGGCTGGTCCGGGGCTGCCATGGACGAGGACAGGGTCACCCCATAGTGGCCCCACGGGTTGGTGTCTTTGCCTCCATGCAGCAGCGGTGCGAGCCAAGTCCCAGTGGCAGATGGCTGGGTCCCGAGCACATGGCCCCGACTGTGAGGGGCTACCGCGGGGGCTACTGCCTCACTGGCCGCTCTGCATGGTTGGCCCCAGCCTGTCCCTGTTGCTGAATGGAACTTGGCAGGCTCCTTGTCGGAGGAACTGCGGACTCAGAGCCTCCGTGTGCTTGAGCCTGCGATCTCTCAGTGAAGAGTAGGGTAACCAGGGCATTCATCCCCAAACCAGATGCTTAGTCCTGTTAATGATGGTGGGACAGCAGGCAAACAGGGACTCTCCCAGGCCAGCCGGGAGAGGGACAGTCACACCCCTGACACTGAAACACGTCTCTGATCTCTTCTCCCCTCCTCACTCCTCTGCGGCTCCTCAGCTCCTCCGTCCCTGGCTCTGAAGCGGATTCCTGCACCTGCCTTCAGCAGGTGTCCCCGGCTAGTCCTGCCAGCAAGCTGTTTGAAAATGCAAATCTGGCCACACCCCTCTTCCACTTGAAACCTTTCAGAAGCCCCCCACTGCCTTCTCCTGGACTCATCCCACACCTCCCGCTTTGTCCCCAGCCTGGCCACTCTCCATTTCCCCGTTTACAGCTGAGCTCCCGACACCACCAGCTTTGTTCGATTCTGGGCTGTACCAGGCCTGGAACCTCAGGCTGCCCACCCCCTCTGTCCCTTGCCCCTCCCTCTTCGTCTGAGTGACCATACTCATCGTTCGGGTCTCAGCTTAGTTGGCTCTTCTTCCAGGAAGCCGGGTGAGCTTGCCCAGCTCCGCCCTCCCCTCAGCCCCTCTCCCTGTTGGCCTCTGCCTGAGACTCCCTGTCGCCATGGACCCTGAGCCCCATCCCTCCCGATGCACAGCATAGCCGCAGGCCCCCACGCGGTGACGGCACACAGAAGTCACTGCAGAAGAATTTGTTCAGCAAATACATCGATGCAGTGGAACTGCTGGGCTTTATCCTTAGGAACCCTTAATTGCACTGTCACCTGAACCAAGGGATGTCTCTGCCCAACTGTGGCAGAGTCTGTGGGACACAAGGGGTCAAAGGGACTGTGGTTGTTGGCAGGCTGAGGCACACATACCTCTAGCAGGTGTGCACACGCCTGAGTGCAACCAGGTGCGCCGCCCTCCGCCTGGACCATGCACACGGGTGTGGTCAGCACCGATGCCCCAGGCCGACAGAGGGTTCTCCCGGGGCCGCGGCTCGGCGCTGCAGACCCCCTGCACTTGCGCCTGTGCTCTGCGCTCCGGCCACCACAGGCTCCAGCTCTGGGGACTGCTGCCCCCTCCTGAAGTCACTGGCCATATCTCAGCCCGCTGGTGACTCTCTGTGACTTGGGCAGACAAGAGCCACCTGCAGTGTCGCGGGGAGAGTGATCAGATCCCTCCCAGCCCCCTGTCTCCCCCAGCATTGCTCCTCACATCCAGGCCAGAGCACCCAAGGCTGTGAGAATCTAATGAGTAAGAAAAATCGGAGGAAAGCTCACCACCATCATCAGCATTCAGCTCAGCGTGGAGAAAGAGGACATTCACAGTGGGTTTTTCTGAAGCAAAGATTACCGTGATTCAGAGCTTAAAATAAACAAGAGCTCCTGCAGCCCAAAGGGACCCCTTTCTGCCTTTTCTGCTGCTGGACTTCATCCACACCTCCCACAGACATGAGCTCGGAGCTTCCAGCGAGCCGCGTGCTGGGCTAGGTGCTGTGGGAAATGCGAGAATGAGTAACACTTGGTCCCGGCCTGCAAAGAGCTCCCAGTCTAACTGGGGAGATAAGACACATTCAGAGCTTTAACACAAGGCAGAAAGTGATAAAGGCCGAGCAGTAAGGCATTGTTTCCAGCCCGACGATCAGGGAGGGCTTGGAGGAGGTGGCATCTGAGTGATTTGAATCCTGGGTACACCCAGAACTCAGCAGCCCAGGGCCACTTGAAGGAAAGGGAAGGTCAGTTGAAAGTAGCTGTGTGCCTGCCCCTTCTCCATCCATCAACTGCCCTTCCCCAAGCTGTCTATAATTCAACCATTAGAAAAAGAAAAATCAGTATTTACCAACATAAATTAAAACCCAGGAAGGGAACAGGCCGGGTGCAGGCAGGCTCTGTGAGCAGAGTGGCTCCGTAGGCATCCAGGGGGTAGCCAGTGCACAGTGGGGCCCAGGGCTGCTTGGAGGACAGAGACTGGGGCAAGTGGGCCTCTGGGTTCAGGGGGCCCGCGGGGGCCTCGCCAGCCTTACTCATCCGGGAACGACCTGTCTCCTCTCCCACAGTGTCATCCGCAGGGAACATGGCGACCCCCTCATCGAGGAGCTCAATCCTGGTGATGCCTTGGAGCCTGAGGGCCGGGGCACAGGTGAGGGCACCTGGGGGCTCAGGCCCGCACTCCTCTGTCTCAGCTCTGCCCATGCACAGGATGAGGGCAAGAGGGATGGGGTAGCCAGCTCCACAGCGCGGGACCCCTTCTTCCCTGCCGCATCGGAGGCTGACACTCTAGGGCTGGGTGAGCCCCTGGGAGCCCCAGGCTGGGTGTAGAGGAGCTGATGATCCATGCAGGGCTCTGGAAACCCGTGGGCGGTAGCTTCTCTGGCACCAGAAGGGGATGGAAAGGAGAGGCTGGGGGTCCGGCAGTCTGACCCCTCCCCTCTTGGCATTCAGCCTGGTGTCAGAGAAAGGGCACTGATCAGGAGTCCCAAGCCCCAGTCCTGCTATTGCCTCACCTGTGGTCTTGGAAGAGTTGCTTCATCCTGTGGGTCTCGTTCTGCACATGCACAGAAGGGATACTGACATCTGCCCTCCTCACCTCTCTGTGTTGTAGTGAGGACCGAAAGGAGACCATGAATGTGCAAACGTGACATACTGACAAAAACCGCAAAGGCAAAGGGCATGTGTAATAGATAAGGAAGAAGCCCTCATGCTCTAAGCGATTGGCACTCACTCTCTCGGTACAGAAGTTCAGGGAAAGGAAGGAGAGCCCCCCTTCATGATTTCCTATCATGAGCAGGCTGTGGGAAAGCAGAGGAGAGGGGCTTCCCCGCTGGCTTCCGGGCCCAGTGCTGTACTCTCGGGAGCCCCTCTCTCTTGAATCTCCTGGCCAATGGCCAGAGTGAAATCTGCGTTGTTGCAGGGGGCGTGGTGACAGACTTCGATGGAGACGGGATGCTGGACCTCATCTTGTCCCACGGGGAGTCCATGGCTCAGCCGCTGTCTGTCTTCCGGGGGAACCAGGTGTGCATGGACCCCCAGGACCCGTGGAGCCCGGCCCCGTGTGCTCCCCTGGGTCTAAGGTGGTCGAGGGCAGAGGCGCCAGGGATGCTTGCTTGCCGCACAGTAAGCCTCCAAGAAGGGCTGCCTCATGGGAGAAGCCCTTGCCCCTCTGCCTTCCACTGGCACTTCTGCTCCCAAAACTGTTTTTCCTGAGTCTACGGGCTCAGGAGCAAAGTGCTCCTGAGGATGCTCCTCAGGAAGACTCCTCAGGAAGTCTACGGGCTTTCCCCTCCTTCTCCCAGGGCCCCTCTTTCCAAACTTCAGCCCGTCCATCTGCCTCATTCCCTCTGCCCCTTTTCTGCTCTTCCTCTTCCTCCCTCCCTGCTCCTCCTACCCCCACCCCATACTCACCCGCCTTCCTCCCTCCCCTCAGGGCTTCAGCAACAACTGGCTGCGCGTGGTGCCTCGGACCCAGTTCGGGGCCTTCGCCAGGGGAGCTAAGGTCGTGCTCTACACCAAGAAGAGCGGGGCCCACCTGAGGATTATCGATGGGGGTTCGGGCTACCTGTGTGAGATGGAGCCCGTGGCACACTTCGGCTTAGGTGAGTCAGGGCCAGGGGCAGGGCGGGCGACGAGCCATTGTGCCCGACAGCAGGCTCCTGGAAGTGCCTCCCGAAGCATGCTCAGTGACACAGAGCTCGCAGCCCCGGCAGCTGCCAGCGCACAGTACTTCCAGACCCGGGGACAGCCGTGGCGGATACCAGCCACCCCGGCAGCCCTGCTCAGAAATGAATCTGAGCTCCCGCGGGAGGCTTCCAGGCCTGGCCCCTTGCAGGGGCCCCCACCGCCGTCCTCCGCTGAATCCGCTCACCTTGGGGTCAGAGTATTTAATCCTCCCCGTGTCCAAGACTGGGGCCTGGTCCAAACATTGGCCTGTACCAGATTTGTCCAAACCAGCTGTTTTCTGGCCTCTTGGAGCCAGCTTGGTGATTAAAGCCTCACCAAACCACTGGTGCCTTCCCTTAGCTAGAAGCCTTAGAGAAGCGGAGCGTTCTCCGCAGTGGAGGTGCGATCACCCACAAGGGAGTGAAAATTGGTTCCTGTCTCGAGGAGGGGAAGCAAGAAAATCGTACTCTCTGTTTATACGTTTAAGGCATAGATATCCAGACTGCACATAAACAGCTATCCAGTATATCTGTAGTATGCATGAGCTATCACTACACACCTATCAGAGCAGCTAAAAAAAATAATAATAATGATAACACCACATTCCGGCGAGGATGCAGAGAAATTCGCTCTCCCATACATTGTTGGTGGGAATGCAACACGGTACAGCAACTCTGCAAAATAGTTTGGCAGTTTCTTTAAAAAGAAAAAAACGAACACACAACTTCTATAAGACCCAGGATTTGCACCCCGAGGTATTTATCCCAGATGAATGAAAACTTCTGTCCACATAAAAATCTATACCAGAGGGTTCACGGTAGCTTTATCAGCAGCAGCCCAGACTGGAAGCACCCGGGATGAGCCCCATAATAGATTACTGGTTCAACAAGCCGTTGTCCATCCACTCCACAGAATATTACTCAGCAATAAAAAGGAGTGAACTGTTGATACATGTAGCAACTTGAATAGCTCTCAAGGGCATCATGGGGAGTGGGGGAAGAAAGGCCCATCTCATAAAGTCACATACTGTTGATTCCATTTATATAATATTTTCAAAATTATGAAATTACAGAGACAGAAAATAGAGCAGTGATTGCCAGGGGTGGGTGTGACCATGAAGGGACAGCCTGAGGGAGGTCTCTGGGGTGATGGAGCAGTCCTGTATCTTGATTATGATGGTGGTTGCACAGATCCACACATGTGATAAAATAACATAAGACTACACACACACAGAGCACACACACAGAGCACCAGTGTCGATTTCCTGGTTTTGGTATTGTGCTATAGGGGCATCAGCTCTAACCATTGAGGGAAACTGGATGAAAGTATACTTTCTGTACCATCTTTGCAACTTCTGTGAATCTAGAATTATTTCAACATCATCAAATATTTTTAAAGAAATGCACTGGGGAGGGAATTGGGGGGAAAATATCTAAAAAGCCTTCTTGAGACGAGGGGCAATCCTGGAAAACGTGTGGAGGAGCCAAGAGTGACTTTACTAAACCACAATGGTTAAGAAAGCATTTGAGTCAAATATACCTGGACCCTGAGTCAGACACCCTCCCCCATGCGTTAGCACCTCACGGGGAGATACAATATTAACACTGAAAGAGTAGCAGGTGGCACTTTGCTCCCATTATGTCATTTCATGCTCGTGACCCCTCTGCGAGATGGGCATTACTTATCCCCATTTTACAGATGGGAAAACTGAAGATCGCAGCAGTTAAGAAACCCGCCAAGGTCATGTGACTGATCGGTAGCAGAGCTGACGTTCAAATCCAGACCTGCCCGACTATGTGATTTTTATTTCCTTCCGTATGTTTTGTGTGTGTGTTCCAGCTTTTAGAGGAACGCAGAATATTTATGCAGTCTGAAAAAGAAGCATAAATGTTTAGGGGACCTGGTTCTGTGAGCATGTTCTTGGGCTGTTTCGCCCTGGATGGGTTGGCTGGCTGTTGAAGCATTTGTCACTTTTATGGTAGCCATTTACTACACTGGCCAAGTACAAGATGACTTTTGAATACATAGTCCTCTCTCACAAAACAGCAATAACCGACTGTCATTGAGCACTTAGCATATGCCAGGCACTGGGCTACGGGCTCTGCCCAAGATACCTCATGCAGTTCTTACCGCAACACAACAAATCATAACCCCATGACACAGATCAGAAAACTGAGGCTCGGGCTAAGTAATCTGCCCCAAATCCCACCTCCAGAAAGTAGAGAGGGCTGGATTTGGACACCGACTCCTTAGTCACCACTGACCACCGTAACTTGAGGGCTTGACCTCCCACAGCTGCTCTGTGCAGAGCCAGCCAAGGTCCTCCTGCTCTGCCTCTTTCTTCCTGGATATCCATGTCCCCTCGGTTACCAAGCAACCCATGTGAGGCCACCCAATCGCCAGGGTAACTGCCGTGGTATCCTAGGTGGGATGTTTATCCAGGTATCTGGCTGGACATCAATTCCCACCCCATTGTATAGATAAGGAGATAATCGAGTTTCCACATAGCAATGTAAGGACGGGACTGGAGCTGAGGTTCTCCTTCCTCACATCCCATGGGCTGCCTGTGCTATTTTAAGACGTTTATGGGCCTCGTTGGGTCTCCTCTCTGGCCAGCATCTGCCCCTGCCAAGAGAACAGACCTGCTTTTTCAACTGGGCAGTCTCGGCCAGGTCGTTTGGTGGGATCACAGGGACCCAAGAGCCTCCATGCCTCTCCACCACTGCCTGCCTCCCATACTCAGGGTTATAGATGCTGCACCTGGTTGGGAGCCCCTCCTGACTGCCAATCCTTGATATTTTGCAAGGCCAGGGGATTTGTTCTGGCTCTGAACTCCTGCTCAAACTGCTCCATGGGTCCCCCTGTAGGCTCCTCTCCTTTGCCAGGATCTGCTCCCAGAGTCCCTGAAGGAAGGCTGCTCCTGGGGACTGGTCCCTGTGGGTCAGTGCTGGGCCTGGCAGTGAGACTCCCAGAGGCGGCTGAGCAGATAGCAGAGCCAGGAGTAGGGACACAGCCAGGAGCGGGTGGGCTCCATCCCCGCAGCTCCAAGGACCCCAATCCAGGAGGGTCTCCTTCACGGATCCAGGAGAGCACAAGCCTTCCTGATTGATGGAGGCGCCAGCGATGGGGTGGGAAGAGAGGGAGCCAAGAGGGAAGGCCAGACAGAAGGAAGGATTGAGAAGGAAAGAGGAGGGGGCACACAGGCGGACAGACGGGGGCCGGGAAACCAAGAGACGCAGAGAGACGTGCAAACGAGACGTGAGACCAAGAAGAGGTACTTTCTGCCCTCCAGGCTCACAGTCCAGGGAAAAAGGCAGATGGACACAGAGATTCTGGGGCAAGGCGGATCTGGACGCACCGTCAGGCTGACCAGGGGGGCTGTGTGAGGACCAGCACGGGAGAAATGGTTCTGCTTTCCCAAGGGCATGGGCCTAGCATGGGGTCTAGCCGGGTGGTGGGGATTTAGAAGGCACGGAGGGCGGCGGAAAGAGCATCCCAGGGGCTAGCCTCGCTAGAACACAGACCCAAAGATGGGAGTGTTCAGTGTGCCTACGCAACCGAATGGTCTGGTAGGAGCAGAGCCTAGAGAGGGAGGCCAAAGCCAAACTGGGGGTGGGGGGGAGCCAAGAGCCAGGCTGGAGGAGGCAGGCAGATCGGAGGGGGGTCTGCAGCCCCACGGGGGCAAGCCAAAGCCAGGCTATGCTGTGCGGGGGCAGGGCCACAGGAGCCCTACAGGGAGACCAGTGTTTGCAGATGTTCTTAGAAGGATTTAATGGTTTTCCTGATTATAAGAATAATGCATATTGACTATAGGACAATTAGAAATTATAACATCATTTAAAAGAAAGGAGAAAGAACCCATAATCTTGCCATTATCTTTTGAATATTAAATGAAAAGTAAACGTTTCTCCCTTCACCCTCTCCCAGTACCATTTGATTCATTTAGTCAACGCTTATTTACTGAGCACATACTATGTGCCGAACACTAATGAGACACAGGTCCTGGCCGTGGGTGATCTTACATTCGAGTGGAAGTAGCAGAAACATATATAATAAACATAATAACTGGGTAAATATATAAAATGTTAGAAGATGTTAAGTGCTATGAAAAAAGGAAATGCAGAACCGGGTAAGGGGATCAGGAACGTGGAGGGCAGGCGGTGGGGAGCAGTTTTCAATACAGTGGTGGGGGTGGCCTGCTCCCACAGCCATGCTTTGTGATATGCTTTTATTACATGCAATATGCACGGGAGCATAGTTGTAAATACTCCTTGGGGGATTTTTTTTAACAAAACTGATTATACTCTTCCTATTATTTCCAAACTTGCTTTTTTCGCCTCTCAACAATATAACCTGGACATCGTTCCAAACGTGCGCATCCCTCCCTTGGTTCCCTTCAGAGCTGCACGGTATTTCATTGTGCGGCGGTACTCATCATTTATTGAGCAAGTCTCCTATTGACGGACAATTCGATGGTTTCTGGTCCTGAGCAGTTTGTTTTGTGGTGCTCGGGGTGAGAAGGGGCATGTCCAGAATACGAATGCAAGAAAGGCCTGCCTTGTTCCAAATGACTGAGCCACAGATGTGGAGCCTGCAGCTGTGTGGGGAGCCGTGGGTCTCCGGAGGGAAGACAGCCCCCCCTTCCAGCACTCACGACGCTCCTGCTCACCACAGCTGACCCTGCTCCCTTCCTCCCTTTGAGACTCATCCCCAGCCTCCCCCCACCCCCCGACTTCGCGGCGAGGTGTGGCGAGAGAGCTGGACATGGACACGTATGCGGGTGTGCACGCGTGCCCCTCAGCAGCCTGCCTCATCTCTGCACTGAGCCTGGGTCAGAGGACTGGTTTCTCTGCCCCTCATGTGTTCCCCCGACTCCCAGGGGTCTGAGCTGCCTCGCACCACATAGTAAAAACTCAGGGACCTCGCTGGATGGATGTTTCATCCTCTGGGGTTCCCAGAGGGCCCCCTTGGCTGTGCAGAGTGCCCTCAGCTTCACCCTGTAGAACCATCCTCCTGGGGCAGCGTCAGCTACCGCCGTCCCCACCCCTGCTCCGTGGGGCCCCTGGCCTGGTTCCACCCTTCCTCTGGCCCCTGCCCTGGCCTTTCCCGGCTCCTTCTGGTGCAGATGGCCAGCCGGGCTCATAAAGAAGCATTTCTGCTCACGGCCCTTGTGGAGGGCCCCACTGCATGCTGGTTGCTCGGAACCTGCATCCTAGCCCCCCATACCCCCACCCTGTATATCCCACACCCTGGCTCTCCAGTTCCCGCTTTGCGGAGGGCTGAGGCCGCTCGACCAAACCCAGAACATGAAAACAAGCACCCACAATCTACTTGCCCCTGCCAGCCCCCACAGGGGGCTCCTCACTGGCCAGCCCGCCCCAAACATTGATGGTACCCTGCCACGCACCCCCCCACCCACCCCCCACCTTCCTTTAAGCTCATTGTTTGCAAGTGACTCAGAGCTGCCTCCAAGCCTGCTGGTGCTCATTTCGGGAAGGAAAATTCAGTGGCCCACATAAAAATTACTTTATTAAAGTGCAAAAATATTCCACCAACTGTATTCCCACCATCTGTTTTGCTGGTAATTCTTCTGAAAAGCGCAATTCTCTGTGCCTCCTTGGCCTTTGTCCTTTAAACGCTGCGGGAGGTGACTCCCTGCTGCTCTTGACCTCCCAGCCTGTTAACGGGGCCTCCTCTGCTCACAGCCCCACTCCCTGACTCACAGCCCTGGCAGACAGACGGCTTCAATGCTGCCCTTGTGCAGTGCCTGGAAAGATGGGAGACGTCTGGCGACTTGAGAGGGAACAGCCAAGCCTGGGGACAGGAGCCTGGGCTCCAGTCCTAGCTCAGACACTGGCAAGTCACTTCACCTTGCCAATGTCTGCACCTGGAGAGTGGGGATAGAACGCCCACCTCGCGGGGTAGTCAGGAGGATTCGGATCAGCCTCACACACGAAGGCGCCAAAGCCCATCCCGGTCTCCTACCCCCCACCCCCGCCTAATACATATTCTCATGCTCTGCTTCCCCCACTTTGAACTTCTCCCTGATCTTCAAATACACATGACCTTTTTGTACCTCTGTACCGTGCCGTACCATCTGCCCGGACTGCTCCTTCCTTCCCTTCTCTGCCTCACAAACTCCTACTCCTCCTTCAACACCCAAATAAAATGACTTTTAACACCCACCTCTCTCACCGAGTGGCACCAATACTGCATGTTCCCAGTTTATTATAACATAATCACTACGTTCCTTTCCCCCGCGGGAAGCAGTTCCTGCAGGCTGGGGCCTGGGTCCATCTCCTTTCTGCTAAATCCCAGATCCCTGCATGATGCTTGGCCTGTGGTGGGGCTGGGCGTGGCGGTGAAGTGAGCAGAACAAGGGCAAAACGGATATGGGCTTTGGGGTCAGATGGCCCTAGCTGGGGAGCTATGGGCCATTTACATTACCTCCCCAGGTCTGAGCCCCTTTATCTCTAAAATGGAAATTAGAAAGCTAGTACCTTCCCCATGGGGCTGCCAAGAGAATCCAGTGCTAACACTGAGATCACCTGGTACCGTTTGGGGTACATGTTCTCCAGTATTATGGCCAGTAAATGAAGGTGCTTTGGAAACTAGAGGGTGCGCCCATGTCTAAGAGATGATGGAGATGGGGATGCCAAGGGGACAATCGGCCGGGGCAGGGCTCACATTGCAAGGAAGAAAAACTGTCCTCCCCAGGAGTGCTAGAACTCTAGGCCACACGCCCATCTTACAGATGAAGAAACTAAGGCCCCAGGGAGGGTGCCCGAGTCAGCAAAATAATCAGCAGCAGCAGAGGAGGGAGTCCTACTGAGATGTGTTCTCCTTGGCTTACTGATCTCATAGCCCCAGCCCCTCCCTGGGCTTGGAGGAAGGGAGGAAAGCAGGACTCAGAACCACAGGCTGCAAACACAGAATGTAAATTTGTGATTGTCCGTGAATATTCGGTGACTTTTCTGAGTTATTTTGGCACTTTAGTCAAGCTGGAAAATGTATTCGTGTAGCTGTTCTCTTGGCTGAGGTGAGAAACATTTGCTATTCTTTGTCTCCTTTTTTTAATAGAAAAATACTTTTTATACATGCCAGTTTATTTGGGCACTGTTCAACCCAAAAATGCCAGGTGTCTTTAACTTCAAGCGACTATTTCAAAACAGAGAAACAAACCTACCGGTGATACCCCCCAATCCCGTGTCCACCCTCCTCCTCCAAAAGGAATTATTACAGAAGGAGGGAGTAGGGGGAAGGGAGGTTTATGAGAACTATTTGCTGGCTTCTGGGTCTGCTCCGGGAGCCTCTCCGGGGTGCCGTGCCCACGGAGGCAGGGGCTGCTCATCTGTGACACTTGCGAGTGTGGCAGCAGGTCCCCGTCCTCATTAACACACAGCCCAGCAGCAGCAAGGCAAAGGGGAAGCCAGTGCAGGGAGGATCCGGACACTGGGTGATGTGGCTCGCAAGGTGCAGCTTCCTCTGGAAGCCCTGGAGCAGCGTGCTAGGACTCAGGGAGGAAGGTGCCGCTGGGACACTCCGCACCAGGCTGTCTCAGCCCCCGCGCCCGGGGGGCCTCTGCACAGAGGAGTCTACACGTGCATTCCCCTTAAAGTCTGGCTGGGCTACCAGCCCTTTTCTAAAATGCAGGAATCCCTTCTATACATGAAAATGTGTCACAGACTACCCTCCGCCCCCATAGTAGCTATCCTGGTAAAATCCATTGGTGAACAACAAGGGCCCAAAGCTGCTATAAATTCAGCAGCCCTTTTTGGTTGCCCTTGTTTTTCTAAGAGTAGCTGCATACATTAAGGGGAAAGTAACACATACATGTGGGTGACGTGTTGTTGATTCAGCCCACAGACGGTGCTTGAGGGTATGATTGGATTCGTGGGCCCCTGAGCACCAGGCCCACATCTGCTCATCCCTGGTGGGTGATAACGAGGGGGCTGCACCCTCTCTCCTACCTGGGCTGATCACTGCCCTCTTTCCCAAGTGACAGATGAGAAGAGCCGCTCCCTACAGGTGAGGCCCAGCCCCCTCCTCCTGCTGACCCAAATTCATCACCATTAGCCTGTCCCTGATGCCTTAAGTAGGGGGCTGGGGCCAGCTCTGACACCGCCTAAACACCTGACAGATCTTCCCAAGCTGCTTTCTACCACCGAGGTAACACATTGCTTTAAGGATGCGTGCGGATGGATTCTCTGTGAATATTCTCTGAGCTTCATCATTAGCTTCGGTAAACATCTCAGCTTTGTAGAATGGTGCTTCTCCTGGGCCTTCCTCCATCCCAATCTCTATGCCCTCAGCTTCTATTTGGAGCTCAGCTCAAGTGCCCTCTCCCCGAGAGCCTGTCCCCGATCACCTTTGACTAGAAAAGGCCCCCAGCCAACCCCCAGTTCCTCTACCCTCTTGCCCTACTTTTGTTTTCTTCACAGAGCTTCTCAATATGACATTATTTATCTGTTCCTCTTTTTGTCTGTCTGTCCGCGCCAGAGTGGAAGCTCCCTGAAAGCAGGCACATTCCCAATGGCCCCTAGCAAGCTATAATTATAAATAATATAAACATATAAATATGGTGACATGCCCAAGATTACATAGCAAGTCAGCGGCAGAACTGGAATTTGGCCCCAGGTCCCCCAGATGCCCGGCCCTCACCATGTTCTTTCCAACATAGCAGGCAAGTGGTAGAGCCAAGATTTGAACCCAGGACTGCAAAGTCAACCTGCTTACCACCAGGCTTTACCTTCTCTCCTAAAACAGCTTCATGTTGATTGGCCTGTCCACTGGAATGTAAGTTCTAGAGCCCATATGGTAGCCACTAGCCAAGTGTGGCTATGGAAATGTAAATTAATTAACATTAAATAGAATTTAAAATCCAGTTCGATCTTCTGTCCCACAGGGAGGGATGAAGCCAGCAGTGTGGAGGTGACGTGGCCAGACGGCAAGATGGCAAGCCGAAGTGTGGCCAGTGAGGAGATGAACTCTGTGCTGGAGATCCCCTACCCCCGAAATGAGGACAGACTTCAGGACCCAGCCCCACTGGAGGTGAGCGAGGGTGTCTGGGCCTCAGAGCCAGAAAAGCAGTCTCCCCCGCTCCCCACCACAGCCCCATGGGCTGCAGCTGGACTCCCAGGAATTTGCAGACTTTGTCCCTAGAATGGTGGAAATCTTCGCAGCAAAGGGCAAGCTTCATAGCGACCCCTCCCTTTGTAGTTGAAGAGGGACAGGTTCTGTTAGGCGTCCCAGCTCAGGCACGCGGATGCCGCGGGAGCCCAATGAGCAGGAGTCTGAACTGACTGCGCTCTCGTCCTTCCCCCAGCCTCCTATTCTCAGTGCAAGGGAAGGAGTCCTGGCAGGGAGGGGCTGCCCCCAGGCCCAGAGCTGTGAGCACCCCTCATTCTGGGGTCAGAATGGGGTCACCCCACTCTGTGGCTGTGTTGAGGAGGGAAACTGAGGTGGGATCTTCTCCACTCACATGTGTCTCTGCTTCTGCCCACCCTGCAGTGCGGCCAAGGATTCTCCCAGCAGGAAAATGGCCATTGCATGGGTGAGTGGCCTGCGGGCACAGGGGACGGGGCAGAGGCCAGAAGCTCCCTGGGGATTGTCAGCCTGAGCCCTTGGCAAAGCTCAGATTGCAGACCAGAGGAGAAGGGTGGGGAGGGAAACGCGGTTTGTCCCTGGGGCTCCAGGTGCCAAGACAACTCACCAAGGGGGAGTGAGGTTAGCGGCCAGCAGGCCGAGTCGCTGCAGTTCTGGGAACGGAGAGTGCTTCCTGCCCTGAACACAGAGGGGGCACTCGGAGGAGACACACAAGCACCTACAGCGCTCACGGGGAGGCCTGCTGCGGGGGCCACTGTGGCGACATTGCACAGGCGTCTTCCATGGGGGGCGGGCAGCTTCGGCTCGGCCAGCTGGCGGGGCAGCAGGCACCGGGGCCGGCAGACAAGGACGGGCATTGCTGGAGCGTGGTCACCGAAGGGACGTTGTCGCCTCGTGCAGCACTGGGGGGCAGGTAGCTACAGCACTGCGAGGACGGCAGCTCGGTGAGGGCCCGGTGACCTTTGGAAAGTCCTCCAAGGACCTGGAGTGACAGCCAGGGGGCCCAGCCTCTCAAAGACCCTCAGCCCAATACCTTCCCTGTCAGTGACCCGCAGGGAGGGCTCAGGTCAAGGACCCTCCCGTCTCCAGACCCTCAGGCAGCACCCTTCCCAAGTCCGCTGTGCGCGTGCTCCCGAGTCCCAGGCCAGCGGGTTTGCTACTGAGATTCAGGAGTGACAAGTCACACACAGTCCCTGCCCCCCTGGAGCTCAGAGCCAGCGGGAGAGGCGCCCGGGGAAAGAGCGATGACCACGCCCTGTGAGCAGGGCTGGGTGGGGGAGGGCTGGGACGCGGGAGCCCAAAGGCGGGGCCCTACCCCAGCTCGGAGGGTCAGAGAAGGCGCCCCCAGAGAAAACCAGGGTCAAGCTGAGACCCGGTGGGTGATGGGGAGTTTGCCAGGCAGGGAGAGGGGAGAAAGTGTTCGGGTGGAAGGCGCCACGCGGGCAAAGGGCCACAGGTGAGAAAGTGAAGGACAGCTCTAAGGGTGGCCTCGGAGGAGAGGAGTCCCTTCCACCCCCCGCAGGCCCGCCCCAGCCACTCTAAACAGATGGTGCATGTACACAGAAATTCCAGCATCTGGCCTGAGCACCAGCAGGACCCTGTGACGTCACCCTTCAGGCCACCTCTTCCTTCTCGTCACCCAGCAGACGTTTATGTGCTCATGCGGGGTACTGGGGACTCAGGTCAAGCACCTGCCCTGCAGAAGCATTTGTTTTACTGAGGGGAGCCACAAACATGTGACCTGGCAGCCAGATGAGATGGGCCAAGAACCCTTTAAGCAAGGTGTCTCTGGAGACTGTTCTAGACCAAGTGGTCGGGGAGAAAACCTTTGAGTTGAGACCTGAATTACGAGAAGGTCCAGCCCCACAAAGAACTGAGGGAAGAGCAGGAGCAAAGAGCCCAAGGCAGGAACAAGGCTTGGTGTGTGAAAGGACTGGGAAGGAGGCTGGCGAGCCTGGAGACGGTGGCGGAGCCAGGCGCTAAGTCAGGGAGGGTGGTGAGGTGTCCAGATCTTTCTCCTACGGCCCTTTGCAATTAAGCAGGAGAGTGGCATGGCGTGAGTCACATTTTCAGAAGATCAGCCTGGCTGCTGAATTGCAGATTAGATTGGAGGGAAGTGTGGCAGCCCCAGCGGCAGTCTGGAAGTGGCTGCAGACCTCCAGGCCGCGGGTGGTGCAGGCTGGGAATCGGCTGTGGCAGAGGAGAGGGAGCTGAGCCGACAGACGGGTACTAAGGGGGCAGAATGGCGGGATCTGTTGTGAAATTGCCTACAGAGGTAAGAGAAAGGGAGGAACCTAGGGGTCGCTCCTGTCTGTGTTCGAGCAGCTGAGGGGGTGCCAGTGGTGTGACTTAGGCAAGATGGGGTCCGGGGCAGCGGATGAAGTTCGAGGGCTAGGGGAGCTAGAGTTTCATTTTGGACCTGCTGAGTGTGAGATGCATGTTAGATTCACAAGTCTGGAGCCCCAGGGACAGGTTGGGGCTGGAGATATAGGAATCTGGAATCATCCATGTATGAAGGGACCACCTACAGAAAGTGTGGTAGATAGAAGATCTAGGACCAAGCCTGACACCCCTAACGTGTAGAGGTCAAGTAGAGAATGAGCCAGCCTAAAGGACTAAAATTGAGGACGTTGAGGCCTAGAGAGAAGGACATGCCCAGGGTCACAGAGTAGGTAGGGCAACAGAGCCTGAGCAAGGACCCACTGCCCCACATCTCCCCGGTAAGTGACTCCCCTCCCCTTCTAGACACCAACGAATGCATCCAGTTCCCATTTGTGTGCCCTCGAGACAAGCCCGTGTGTGTCAACACGTACGGAAGTTACAGGTGCCGGACCAACAAGAGGTGCAGTCGCGGCTATGAGCCCAACGAGGACGGCACGGCCTGTGTGGGTGAGTGAGGCCCCGCCGCAGCCCGGTAGGACATGAGAAATTTGTCTTCCACTGGGGAGCACTGGGGAGCGCTGGGGAGGCCCCCAATCAAGGTCCCCATCCCCTGACTTCTCCTGGCTGGCTGGAGGCTCCTTAGATCCCCGCTGGGACTCCAGGGGAGACCATGACAGAGGTTTGGAGAAGGCCCCCCACTACTCCCACCATCTGAAGGGTCCCTCGGGTGCTGTGCCCTGGCCAGAGGTGATTGTGCTTACTTCTCCCCTTTTCACATTTCCTAAAACAAATTCTCCTACCTTAAGGTCAGCCCATCTTCTCCTACCAGGGATAGAAACTAGCTCCTACTACTCATCTTTGTCTGAATTTCTGAACTGGTATTTGTCTTCTTCCTCCCAAATGCTTCCCCCCACCCCCATCCCACCCCAACCCCCTTTCTCTTTTTCCCATTTTCTCTCTCTCTCTCTCTCTCCCTCCCTCCCCCATCCTTTTGCAGCTCAAGTGGCCTTTTTAGGTGGGTATCCTTCTGCTGCCTTTAGAATCTCTGAGCCTCTCTCTCGGGCCTCATATCTTTCTCTAGGCCTTGGACTTTGCCTTCAGTTATATGCACTTTAAATCCCTTCAATAAAGGAAAAAAAAAAAGAAAAAAAAAAAAACTAACAACCTTTGTGGAAAACTAAATCTCTCCCGCTGCCTGTCTCTCTCTCCACGCCCAGTAGATTCTGTCGCGTGCACCCTTGGAATGGACCGCAGGGGTGGCCGTCTTTGAAAAGGGAAGTTTGGGAGATACGGATATTTATGTAATCTTAGTTATTTGTGAAGCCTTTTCTTTTCTGAGGAAAACAAAAAAGGAAAGTCTCCCCTCCTACCCCATCTACCCTCCCTCACTTCTTCAGAAGAATCATCATAGTCCTGTCTTTTCTGTATTCTCCAGTGTCACAAGCACCGTTTTGCCCTTAACAAAGATGGCTCCCAGGCAGTTGCCTGCTCAGTTGATTCACTCATGTATCATGTGCCTGCTGGTTTGGCCTGTGCTGTTTCTGCTCTGTGCGCCCTGACTTCCTGTGGTAGAGAAAGCCTTATTGGAGTTGGTGGTTATGATGGGAGGGGAAAGGGTGGCCCTTTGGGACTCTTGATAAAAATGTTAAAGTTTGAATTTGCTAAGTCCTCCAGCCTCTTTCTGGAGAAATTATGCCAATAAACTCTCTGCTGGATATTAGTGCCTAGCTGGTGAAAACAAAAATGTGTCTGGGGCAAGTAGATGCTGGTTGGAATGTTGAATTAGCAGCAGCCCTTCCATCACGGGGCACTTGGAAAGCAAATCACGAGACAGGGAAAGTATCTGCCCTGAGCATGAGCAATGGTTTGGGTATGTGCACCAATGTTCACATTTGGGAGGCTGGAATTTGGACCAGGCAAGGGATGTAGGATGAGCAAGGGGCAGATTGTGGAGGGAAAATTCTGGGCCTTTTACCTGGAGGAAGTCACTTGTCTACACTGGGCCTCAGTGTCCCTAATCTAAATAGCAAGAGATTTGGTCTGGTATATCCCTAAAGCCCTTTCCTTTCTAAGACCCTTCAGTGTGTGGCTGGACAGAGACATAGCTAGTCTCAGGTTACCCTGATTTCTAGAAAGAATCTGGCAACTTGGTCTCCTCTGCAATATGCTTAGAAACCTGGAAGCTTCTGTAGCTAGAGCACCCGTTGGGAATGATGTAACACCATAGAATACTTTCACAAGCAGCCTCGGTAGTGAAGGCTTGTTATAAATCACAGATCTATTCTTCAGGGGGAAAAACAGTTGCCCCAAGATATAATAAAATCACACTTAAGAATGCAGCAAGCATTTTAAAAACATACTTAACAAAAAACCTACCATCTTCTAATAGAATAATAATACTCCCAATAAATCATGAAATATGAATTCATATGAATTCGTAGCTAGTACTGTTTTTACACTCAGAATGGGAGCTTAAAAGTCTCAAAATAAAAACAGCTACATTTCTACAAGAAAACATATAATGACTTAAAAATTGCTCCACTTCTGGGCAGCCCACTCCTGTGTGTTCACATAGAACTAAAGGCGTGGGTAGGCCCAGAGAGGAGGCTCAGAGAGATGAAGTGATCTGCCCAAGGTCACAGAGCCAGCGGTCCCCAGGCAAGGCTCGAGCCCTTTCCTAGCACACAGTCTTGTCGGGGGGTCACTGTTCAGACTATTCCCTAGTCATTCTAGAAGCTGCTGCCTTTTTAAAATGAACAAGTAGAGGGCGCCTGGGTGGCTCAGTTGGTTAAGCGACTGCCTTCAGCTCAGGTCATGATCCTGGAGTCCCGGGATCGAGTCCCGCATCGGGCTCCCTGCTCAGTGGGGAGTCTGCTTCTCCCTCTGACCCTCTTCCCTCTTGTGCTCTCCGTCTCTCATTCTCTCTCTCTCAAATAAATAAAATCTTTAAAAATAAAAAAAATTAAAAAAATAAAATGAACAAGTAGATCTGGGAGAGTAAGATAAGTAAAACCCAAAATCCACAGAGGCAGTGGTTCCAAATGTAATGGCAAATGACAAGGTAACAGTCTCCATTGACAGACTGCGCACAACAGCACGAGAAATAAGGGACAGGACAGCTAGTAAGACAGCCTGCCAAGGACATCAGAAAATTCAGGATGGCAGCAAATTTCAGAGGATACCTTCTAAAGTAATAACTGTAAATCCTCGCACATCGAGTTCCTTGTAACAGGGTATATTTGTGTCATTTTACCCTACTTGGTGGTGGGGCCGGATGAGTTACCAAGAGGAGTTCCAAGTTCCCCCCGCTGTCAGGAGCACAACTACAATATCCCAACTCCAGGGTAAGAAGGCTTACTCTGGATGTGGTTCATTCGTTCAACAAATGTTAGTTGAACACCTACTATGTGCCAGGTACTAAGCAAGGCTCTGGGCACACAATGGTAAGTAGAGATGACATGGTTACTGCCCCCACACCGTCCCCCTCCAGCCAGATGGAGAGAAGCCCAGTGCATGGGGTGAGAGGAGGACTTACAGGGGCTTTTCTGAAAAATCTAAATCCTTGGGGCGCTACACCAGAAAGCAAGCTCTTTGCACTCGTTCACTCAAATCTTCATTCAGCAAGCATTCATCGAGAACCTCCTGCGTGACAAGCACTGGGTCCCTTCCATGAGGAAAGTGACAAGGTCCAACGAGGTGGGTCATGTCTCCTGCCCCCAAGATGCTTGTGTTGAAAGAAATACGAGGCTAAAAGATACAGAGGCCAGGCAGGTACTGACGCAACTCAGGGTTACCTGCCCCCAAACAAGAGAGCCTCCCCTGCGGGCCAGGAATCCAGGCTTTCTGAACCAACTACCCCCAGTCCAGGACATTTGCTGGTCTGGGCTGAACTGGTCCCCGAGCTGCACCCAAGCTAGCCAGGCGCAGGATCACTATCCCTCTTTTTTCCAACTCCCCTTCCTCTGAGGCCCGCAGGTGCCTACACACTTGCCTTCCCCTTCTGAGCACAGAAAATTCAGTCCTTTCTTTGTCCCTTAGCCCCACTCAGGCTCTTCACATCATCCTTTCCTTATCCTGGACTTGAGTTTGTAACAAAAATTGCAAATGGTCCAGGGCTGACAGAGTGGCACAGGCCTCCAGGGGAACGTGTGAACAGAGGAGCTGGGCCCCAGCTGGGGCAGCCCCGGCTCGCTCTAGTAGTAGTAGTAGTAGTAGTAGTAGTAGTAGTAGTAGTAGTAGTAGTAGTAGTAGTAATAATAATAATAATAATACCATTTTTTTTCTGCCCAAGAACACTCCTCTCCCCAGGAATGTACCCTTTAACATGAGAAGAATATCCAAGTTTAGTGAGCTTGGCCTGTGTGGGCCAGATCTAAGCTCTTTAGAAAAATCAGCCTGTGTAATCCTCACAGCAGTCCCAAGCGGAAAGTGCTGTAATGATCCCCGTTTTACAGAAAAGCTAAGTGGCTTGTCCGGCTCACACGGCTGGGACAGAGGACGGACTCCATCAGAGCGGTCTGGCCCCTAGCCTGAGCTCTTAACATGGATGCTTCGGGGGGCTAGCCAGTGACACAAAAGCCGCCATGTCTCCGTGCTGCCCAGGGGCAGGGGATGGGTTGGGAAGGAGGAAATGGAGCCCTGGAAGAGCCACACAACAACTGCAAGAGGTGAGGGTGTCCAGGCCAAGTCCCCTCACCAGCTGGTGTGGCTGGCCTTAGCAAATGCAGAGCCATGAAGCACCGGTGCAGCCTCTTCTGTCGCCAGCCCTGCTCTGGGGAGGTGCCATTCTGAGGGCCAAGAGTTTGATTATGTGTCACTCTGGCTGCTATGGCCCCCTCCCAGGGTCTGGGCATCACACCCTGACCGGCACCCCTGGACTGTGACCCAACAGGAGCTCCACTCCAGCCTCCCAACAGGGCTGCTGGTCATCTCTCCAGAGCCCCATGGAGACAAAAGATGAACACTTCATTTTCTCAGGGAGTCAGCTGGGTTTTTCCAGCAGATTCCAGCGTGATACCCCACCCAGACTGCCAGCCCAGGAGGCAAGCCTGGTCCCTCCCCTTCTCTCCCTCCCCGGGGTCAGCCACACTCTCTCCGTCAGTGTGGACCAGAACCCCAGCCACATCCTGTTAGGGCTGATGTGGTGTCTCCTTAGCAACAGACACATCCCAGAAGAGGAAGGAGGAGGCGAGAGAGCACGGACTGGTTAACGTGGCGGACCACGCCAACCCCTCCTTCAGCAGCCGTCCTCTTAGGGGACTGTGGTTGAAGGGGTAGACCATGAGAGAAAAATGAGAAACAAGAAGAGGAAAAGACCCTCCTCAGGGGAAAGAGCTAACATGTATGGAGCGCCTATCATCTGCCAAGAACTTTACCTGGATGTCCCCAGGGATCCCCGTACCCGTGCTATGGGATAAATGTTATTCACCTGTTTTCTCACCAAAGAAGCAAGGCTCAGAAAGAACAAGCTCCCCAAGGTCCCATAGCTGGTGAAGTGGCAAAAGCTG